GGTGCCCGCGTCACGTTGTACCTACATGTTTTTTTATTTCATCATCAAGTTTTATTAAATTACCATGGAAGAGTTTACATGGCTACAATCATCATATGTTTGTACAAAACTACTTTTATAAACATTAAGTATTTTTGGCTCCTGTTATAAAAGGTTTTCAAAAGATATGTGAAGCTGAATTATTGCGGTTTCATTTGCTGCCATGCACATGCGGTTGTTTGCGAATTCTCAAACAGTCCGATAAATGTTATCCTTTTTTTACATATATAGGCATCTGTCTTCCTCCGATCTATCCACAAACAACCAAGCTTCACAAATCTTGATGTTAGTTTGTACGAAGAAACCTCTCTGTGGGAAAGAAATAACACATTCAAAGAAGAAAAAGTGGGTTTTCAATAACGTTTTATAAACAACTGGAACATTTTAATAAATAGTGACCCTTTCCCGTATGACAGTCTTAAACCGTGACACCGATTCAGTGACACAGTTTTGCAATATTCCTATTTTCCCTCCAAAATTCCATCCCTTCGAAGGTGCAATGTGCGCTCCCCCCATCAGCACTGGCCCATCCCTAATTCCCGAACGGCACGGTTCAATGTAGCGAAGAGTTCTTTGACCAACAGTACACTATGCTATGAAATACATTCTTAAACAAAAAAGGCATTTATGTCTCTCTGTTACCCTGTAAATATTGATAAAAAGTAGTAAAATGTCTTGTAAGCAAGTCACAGTGTAGCTATAAACTGAACACAGGACAGACAATGACTTTATTTTTCCAAACATCACAAGAATTAAAGTTGGCATTGATTCGGACGTGATAAATAACAAGTCCGTTGAATTAGTCTTGCGGTGATTTCAGGCAATAAAATTTGTCCCTAACGTATCAAACCCAAGTCCTACTGTGATCTTCTCCCATCCACAAAATTGTGCTTCAACTTCCTGGAAATTACAAGTTCTCGATCAACCTCCAGAGGCATCGACGGCCCCAGTACTATTAAGCTGAATCATTATCTCCACCACTCTGTAATTATGACAATTCATTTTCTCAGAAGTTGCTAGAAAATTTTCAGGACCATTACTATTCCAAAGGCATTTATTATTTAACCCTGTTGTTAAAAGTCATGAACAGAAAAGCTAAAACAAATACACATTACACAGGAACACCGAAAGGGAAAAGAAATAACCGTCTTATATACAAAACACAAGATGCGAAAAATGGCGACTAGTGATACATGAAATGTAGGAAAGATCAGAAGAGAAAACTCATTAATGGAGGGCAGGCAGGATATTTAAGTTAGTAATATATAATTTCAAATCTTTATACAATAATTACAGGATAAGAAGCTGCACTGTAGTTAGGATTAGAGAAAATGAAACAGAGAAACATTTTCCGATTTTTTTTCTGCACTCGTCCAAAAACATGAGCTCAGCCAATTTTCTCCTCAAAATGATTTATCAGTTTTTTTCACTCTTGGCCTTTTTTTTTCTCTAATCCCATTTTGAAGACAAAGATAATGCAATTTTTATGCGAGTGCTGGGAATTCAGACCATCGTGAATACCTGTGATTTAGATTCTCTTTGTTTTCGAATGGGGGAGGGGGCCAGTGAGTGACGGTTCCCAATGGTCTGACTGTAACCCAGTGGCAGCGGACAATTTTCAAAGTGGGAGGGGGAGGCAGTTGTTAGACCATCAGGCATCAGCCACTAACAGGCCAGTCCATTCACCCCCGCCCCATTATAGGCCCTTCAAAAAGTGGGGGGGGGGCTGGCCCCCTCCCCTTCCGTCGCCAGTGCTGTAACTGGGATTTTCTTGGGGTATGCCATCAAAGAGGTATTTCAAGATGGTCTGGTTATAGAGGGAAGGAAGTGAGAAGAGCCTTCAGCCACCACCATGGGGGTAGTATCGGGATATGACGTTGTTCTTTAAAAGTCTTCGCTCAAGGCGGCGACTGTGGAAGCGAAGGAGAGCATGAAAACTGTGCGTGACTGTTAGCCAAACAGTGAGCCCCTAGGACTCCCTGGAAAGAGTGGTATCTGTGTGACTAACGGGCAAGATTAAAACAAAATGGAAATAACCCACAACAGCTAGGGACTATTTAGTATTCTGTCAGACTCTTGCAGAAATGGGGAGCGAGTTTTGGGAATCCCAGTTTGTGCAAGAATCTATGTAATCATTGAAGTTGTCAATGTGTTCACACAGAATACGGTCGAATGTTACATTTGTTCAAGGAGCAGAAATGACTGCTTTGGTTTATTTTGCGATCTATGTCTGTGAATATTTCTGAGTGTTTATTTTGTTGTCTTTGTTGTGTTTATGTGGGAATACTTGTGTTTCATTTTTTGTTCTGATTGGTTGATCAACCAGGCCATGTTTAAATGCAAATTTTTCCCATCTTGTCAGGCGGCAAAATACTGTAACCTCTCACTCACACAATTACCTCCACTCGCTCACAGAAGCCTAAAAAGTTTCAATGGTCAGTTCTAAACAGCAATCAAGTGGAACTGCAGATCCTAAATTAGCTGGTCTGGCAAACGCTCTCCAAACAACCATGAAAAAAAAACCAATCCAGGAAGTTCTGTGACCAGATCTCCTTAAAGAAGCAGGAAAAAGCCACTAGGTCGGATGACATCGACAACCACAACTCAATGAAAATCAGCTATCTAAAAAAAACCAATCCCCTACAATACGACCTAAGAAAACAGAAAAAAAATCTCAAATCTCACTCACTGACAAGATTTTGCCCAAACAAGAGAAGAAAGTATTTCACATTTTAAACATGGCAATGAAAATGGTATTTTTTTTAAACAAAGGATGTCGATACTTTGGGGATTCTGGGCTTGACATGAAGCAGCAAAAGAACAATAAAGTGTGACTTCTTCCTTAACCCTAATTCCCAGAGTGATTTACTAGGAACCATACCCATTCACACAAATTCCAACACCATATGGTAAACTGTGCACAAAAACTGTTGGACGTTGGACTGTTGTTTATTTTGGGTTTGCCTGAACCCGTGTTAAAGCACAAGCAGTTTAGGGGTACAGTACCCAGTGCCACAAATTCACACACTTTACTGGTGTTCAGTTCTGTGTGGTTAGGGTAATAAAGAATCATTTAGATAGTGCAAGAAATACTGGAGAAGTTTGGTTTTCTGTGCTGCATCTGATAATGAAACGAATGCCAATCTAAAGGCTCTGAAACTCTGAAAGAAAAAGCAACCCAATCAGTGCCACTGTTAGAACACTGGTAGTCAAGAGCCTGACATAGAGTGACCTAACAAGAGCTCTGATTGGATGTGCTACTTTGCAAAGTAATCCATGATGCAAGCTAGAAGGGTATTTACACGGCATTATTTACAAGATCCTGCAACCAAAGAAAACAGTATTTCCACTAAACAATGCAGTAAGTGAGACACCAACGTAGGAAGTAAGCAGGACAGAGGGGGGCGTGATTCCACTGAGCTCGTGAGCCAAAATGCTGCTTGGTAAATGTATGGACTAAGCAAGAACCTGCCAACAAAACTAGCTGTATTAAAATAATACCCATCCAATGACTTGTTACACTCGTTACGTTTCTCACTAAGCACAGTTATTTCCTGCAAGGGAAATTTCTTGACTTACAAGAATTCCTCGACGCTCTCTCCCGGGCCAAACGTCTTGGGCAGGACCTGGATGTTGATGGAGCAGACGGATGTCTTCCCTCCTTGACCATCAACTATAGCCACTTTGATATAAACTTTGGTTTCGGTAAAAAGATACTCAGATGTTATTTGCAAACATTTACAGGTGAACGTAATGCAAAATGGAACTTACGGACTCACATTTGTCAAGCCATCACATTCACAGCGTACAGCTGTGGGACAAAACTCTTCCAATTAAGGTTCTGTTCAATCTGGCTGTGACTAGAGTTAACTCTACACCTATGGGAAGCGGCTATAACTACAAGGTAGTGGCTTCCATAAGCATCCATGTTGTAGACAGCCACAGCCGCAACGTTTCGGTACAACCATTTGTGCTTTTGCTTTGAGGGAGTGGTACTTTTTTTCTTTGTCGGGGGTGGGGTTTTAAAATGGGCAGATTTGACCTCTCAAATGTTTTTTTGGGGGGTTGAAAGTACAGGGGGCAGTAATTGCAACTCCCAGTATCGTTTCAGACAGCTGATCCCAATCACTTGGCTACGGCTTTGCAAATAACACTCAAGTCCATGGGAAAATGGCTGCAGAGGCTAGTCAGTGCCTGTCGTCACAGACACGTGTTATTTCGAGCCGTTGACAAGTAATTCGGACACAACTAGACTCACCCAGGTGATCGTTGTCTTTGTAGCCAGCTGGCAGCTGGAACTTGACGGCGTGCTTCATGCCAAAGTACAGGATAGTCAGGTCCTCTGTCTCGTTCAAGCTGTAACTGACTTCATACTGGATCGGAGAATGCTAGGAAACAGACCCCGAAAAAAATGCAGAATTGTGGGTGCGACGTTTAGAAGTCTATTTGATTCATCAATCACACTACACAGCAATGCTACACCGTCAGCACATGCTAAGAGAATCTCATCTTCTTACCTCATCCTGCCATCCCAGGCAGTTGATGGTAAAGACGGTCTCCATCTCGTTGCCCTCATCGGGTGTTATGGAGCACAGCCCTGCCCTGGGGCCTCTGTTGACTGTGGCGTACTGGTAAGCCTTTCCCGTTTTCATGACACCATTCTCTGCGGAGCAAACGGAAGATGGTTATCTGGTGCACTTGCCTCGATTCTGACCGTAACCCTTGGAAGAAATCTTGCCCGCGAGTAGGCGAGGTTCGCATATCATCCAGACTACTCAGTATCATTCTCACTGTTTGTATTAGGGATAATTTGGCTTGATTTATTCAAATCGCCTAAACAGGAGAATCTTTTCACTAGACCCCAAACCACAGATCTCAGAGAAGGAATACCCAATTGACATGAAATTTTGCACACTGATAAAATAACTTATTAACATGTCTGTGTAGCCAATTACACAACATCATTATAATGACTGCAACATATCCATGTCTGACTTAAATGAAACATCGGTGATGTACTCGTATTGACTGTCTTAACATGCACACAGGATTTCAAAATGATCAAGCATGGGACAGCTGAGATCTGGAGGGGGAAGATCTCCCTCTCCCTCAGCCAAAAGTAAATCCACGCTTTACTAGGAGTACCCCAGAGCCCATCCCTAGGAGTACCCCCCAGTGCCCATCCCTAGGAGTACCCCCAGTGCCCATTCCTAGGAGTAACACCCCCCCCCCACTTTACCCATCCCAATCCCATCTCACCGTTCTTATGTGTGGAAATGACAAGGGCATAGGTCCTGTTCTCATCCAGCAGGCCTGGCTTGATGGTCAGTGCCCGGCCGGACAGGCCCGTGGTGGTGTCCTGGGGGGTCAGCACCCGCTGCTGGAGGGACTTGGACACCACGTGCTCGCTAACAGCCGGCGGCGCGTTCGGGTCCACTACCGGATCACCGTTGTTGCTGCCGTCGTCCCCATCTGTGTTGGTATCAGGTGGTGCTGGTGGAAGGGTGAGGGAGTGGAATTATCAGTGAATTCTAGCTCACCACACTCTGCTAAGCTAAACCCAGAAGCAGTAAGATAGTCCTGACCAGAGCCGTATATAGAGAAAGTGGTGCCAACTTCACACTTTGGAACCAAAATGGCTGTTCATTATTTGTGCCATACAGCATGCAGCTATTATGTGCCAATTTTCTATGTGCATTGATGCATAATCCACCATTTTGATTCCAACAATTGAGACACTCATGTCGTAACTCTCTCTATAAACAGTTTCTGGTCCCGACTCCACAAGATCATCCGAGACATCCAGTCTCAATACAAAACACTTGCCATTCAAGTGAACTGTGACAAAGGCTTTTTCCCGTCATTGTTCATGCCCTTTGACTTGTGCCAGGGCCCAATTTCGTGGCGCTGCTTACTGCAGAAATCCGCACTGACACTGACTGGGCTAGGAGAAAAATTCTGTGATATCCTTTTAAGCACAGAATCTTTAGTTACGGGATGTATGCCTGCGTACCAGCCAAAATTCCTTGCTAACCCATGAAATACATTGGCCGTATGCACAGAATGTGTGTTATGGTAAGCACCGATTTTCCGCTTGCTGTGAAATTTGGCCCTTGTCTTGTATCACTGTGCCTGTCTAGTGAATGGGCATGGCTTTGGTCATGAGATGCCCCTACTACGACACTGTCTAGCACTAACTTTTTATTATGTTTCAGGGTGATTTTTCAAACTTCTAAACAGATGACCTTGTCTCAAATTTATCAAATGCTTGGAGATGGGTGCAAAGTTTTCAATGGTGTGTAAACCAAAACCAAAAAAACCCAACTTACGTGGAGGGTTCAAACCAGGCTCATCACTGGAACCTGTACAAAGAAAATAATTCTCGTGAAACAACTGGAAAAATATCAACCGATATAGCATTCAAATGCGAATTTGAGGAGTTTTATTGACTGAAAAATTATTTACAGATTTCACTTACCGAGGTATTCCTCAGGGTAATTGCCGTCATAGTAATCTTCACTTATGAAATCGCCACCATCAGTATCAACCGGCTGGCTGACATTGGGACTTTGCTGGCCAGTGTCAGGTGCGGTGTGGGTAGGAGTGCTCGCTTGGGAATCACTTGCGCTTCCCGGTGGAGTTCCCACTGTGGGGGAGCCTTCTGTTGGGGAGACACCAGTGCCTCGCGGAGAACTTCCGTCAGTGTCATTGGAGCCGGATGATCCAGGGAGCTCTTCCAGAAAACTGTTTTCAGCAACACTGCTGCCAGCTTCGTCCAGGCTGCCCCCTGCTTCGTCAAAGCTTCCACCAGCTTCAGTGAGACTGCTGCCTCCTTCAACTTGGCTTCCGACAGTTTCAGCAATGCTTCCCCCTATTTCAGAGCCAACACTTCCCTCTGCTTCCGCCTGGCTTCCATTGCCTGCCATCGAGCCATTACCAGCTTCCACAATGCTACCTCCAGCTTCCATAAAGCTTCCACCGGCTTCTGCAAAGCTTCCCCCAGCTTCTTCAAAGCTCCCGCCAGCTTCTTCAAAACTTCCAGCTGCTTCTTCAAAGCTTCCACCTGCTTCTTCAAAGCTCCCACCACCTTCTGCAAGGCTTCCAACACTTTCAGCCGGGTTTCCACTGGCTGTGATTAGTCCATCTATAGGGGTTGTGGGGCTTTCACCTGGTTCCTCAACACTGCCTCCAGCTTCTGCGAGGCTGCCACCAGCTTCCACAAGACTCCCCCCACCTTCAGCAAGACTTCCAAATGCATCACTGGCCTCGGCAAAGCTACCCACAGCTTCCTGGAAACTACTGCCAGCTTCCACAAAGCTACCACCCGCCTCTTCAAAACTTCCTGCGGCCTCTTCAAAACTGCCTGTGGCTTCCTCAAAACTACCAACTGCCTCCCCAAAGCTACCAGCTGCTTCACCCAAACTCACGTTGGTACTTGCTGAGCTGCTTCCATTCAGGTGTTCAGCGACACCTGTCATTCCCACAGAAGAGTTTCCCAAAGCTGCAGGAGTGCCCAAAATTGCCAAGGGAGCTGGTGCTTCTTCGTTAACAGCAACATCCTCAACCAAGCTTGATCCCGTCTCTTCAGTGAGACTGCCAAACCCCTCATCAATGCTCCCTTCCTGAAAGGAATCCCCTGTGTAATCACCACCTCCAAGATCAAGACCAGAGCCAACCGTTGTTGCTGGCTCCGACACTGGAACCACAGAATCCTGTCCACCGAGTTGATTGAGAGACGCAGAGCCGTTAGTCTGAGATGAGTCAGTGGCAGTGTCTTCCTCTACACTGCCAGATGGCAGAAGTCCTGTGTTGATAGCATTGCTGAAGTTGTTTTGAGCAGTTGAAGTGGCAACTGTCTGAGTACCTTCCAAGACAATATCAGTAAATAAAATTAAAAGCTACTAAAAAGGAACATAAAAACCATGTCCTGAATTACGGAAACTCACACTTAACAGAAGGACTACATCCCATGATAGTCAATTTTGGGAAAATCTGAGGACTTTTTAAAACAAAATTAGAACAGCAACACAGTGGCTGACTCTCTTCCACTCACTTTGGTTGATGATGTTGCTGTCTTCCTCCGGATTGGACGAGGGTGACGACGGGGAACTCTCATTGGCTACCAGATACTGGCCATAGGATCCATCACCAGGTACACATCGACGACCTGTTGGGGGAAAGAATATTGGTACACCGCAACGTGTTAAAAGGGTCTCGTGCATCCTTGTTAATGTTCTGGTTAATAGTTACGAGAAAAATCATCCACCACGAAAATAATTAGGTGCCACTTGCAAACCCAAAAGTGTTCTTTCTGATGTGAGTAATATCAAACACGTTCTGTTTCCAGGGTTCATAGCACAGCTACAACAGTAACATAATCTCTTAAAATCATCTTTTACTTCAAATCATACAACATCAGTCTAAAGTCCAACAAATAAATTCGTTGTGGTGGTTATACTTTCTTCAACAGTCACCTGTCATGAGGTGTCAGGACAAGGGGCAGTAGGAATCAAAGAGAAGTGTGCACACATGAGACTCTTGCACTTGCGCACATTATCCTACCTGACGTTAAATCAAAGTAGCTGCTTGACGTAATGCCATCCAGAACCACGTAGAGCTCCCAAGTGTAAGTGGTGTTCTCATCGCACTCCGGGCAGACAGCTTCCAGGGTTAACTGCTCGTTGGCATTGACGATGCCGTCTTCGCATTTGAGGCAGTCAATCGATACCCTGGTCATAAAATTGGTTCACAGGATGAACAGCCGTGGACAGCAAAGTTCTAACGGACCTTCACTGCAGCCATTTTAGATGGCAGTGTTATTGTGACCAATTCCAGTAACGGAAATCACCTCTAGGATGACCGTCATGGGTAGGGCCATCATGGGTTGGGTCTTCACAAAATTTTTCTTGACTGCACTGATACCGCAAAATGGGTTTACGAACACTGAGAATCTTCTGAGAGCGAGACAAGTTACTGAAAATCGCTTGCTTGTTAACAACAACACGTACAGAAAAACGTCAGTTTCAAGTCCTGTACAAAATCAACCTCGACTCCATCATCAATTTCATTTTATTGAATTTCACTCGAAAGACATTGAAAGGAATGGATACAAAAAGCTAAAGATCCTAAATATTCAAAAAGATACTTACGCAAGAGGCAAAGTTCAGTGTAAACGTATTTGGTAAGTGGACATATGAAGCAAGACATGAGACGGAGAGAACCCCCGCTACTTTGTGTTGGTCATTGTTTCACGGGAATCTGAGGAATTCATTTTAGACATCTAGGGGGGATGTGTTAGATAACAATAGTCTAGAGTGTGTATAGCGACTGGACATGTTGGAGGGGTATCCCTCGGTCTCAGTTCTGGCTGGATATACAAGTGGACACTGTGTTTTACATTGAAAAGCATACTCTGATGAAAAGTTAATTGAGGAGAAACACGATCGTTCCACATCGAAAATCTTGGTTCGCAAAGGAAAGTGTACTTACTGCATTTGCCTCTCTTCTTGCCCTTCTTCTGTCTCCCGCACGAGCGAGAGGACCTGCGTGGTTTCCACGTCAGCCCGACCCTCCTTGCCAACGCGCAAGGCAAAGACGAAGGACCTGGACCCGTTGGCCAGAAGCCAGGAGGCGGGGAAGACCAGGGACGCATTGGATGATGGGAGGAGGGAGGTCTGGTTGGCCAACATGAGGGCTGTCTCGTTGAAGCAAGGAGCAGTGGGCACATTCAGTGGGTAGCAAGTCCAGTTGTACCTGGGTCGTTATGACGAATATTTGGAAGGTTAGACGGACTTGTTTTGGACTTTCTAAATGACGAATGCCAGGTTTTCTTGCAAGCTGCATGCTACAACTTGTTTCATCAGGCACAACACATGTGGTGCCTAGTAACTTGCATTTCACAAAATGCACAGGTATAAGTTTTTTTCCTGAGTTTACAACTCAACACGCAGACAAAAAGACAAAGCTCAAAGATACAATGTGACACATGGATCATTTACCAACAGGAATATTAGATTTAGATTTAGGAAACAGATTTGACACAGAACATTGTTTCTTTCCAATCCACACAAAATCTGAGCTCCCTTCTGAAACCCAGCCTGAACCTTTCCCTTGGTCCCTACCTCAGGTTGGTGTTGTCATTATGGTCGTCGGGGTCATAGGAAAAGCTGCCGTTGAGGGTCACTGTCATGTCTGAGCTGAAGTAACGCCTCGTCCCGCCCTCGATGACGCTCATCAGAGGGCTCTGGGTGACTTCAAGGGAGACGCTGTCCTGGGCATGGACGATGGTCCCGTTCATGACCACCTACAGAAAACCCCACAAGATTACAGATGTTAATTTGAATTGGATGACAACACTTGTGGCTGACACAGTACTTCTGTTCCAGCTAAAGACACAACAATCTTTCTAGAGATTTCACCGAGTGAGAAGCCTTTCAGTGAAAGATGCCCTTTAAAGGTCTGGATAAAAGTTGTTTAAAAGTGATCAAGTAGTTTGACTGTTTTGCACAATATTGCTTTTCTGGTTGGCTGAAGCCTGTGAAAGAATGCAAGAATATTCAGAGATGGGACAATATTTCAACAAAAAGGAAAACACAATAATCTAAATATTCATGCTTTGTGTCCTAAAAGCATGCAAGCTTGGAAGATTGGGGATTTCATATCAGAACTTAGACAAGTGTTAAGTTAGTGGCAAAACTGTTAGTCAGTTGTGGCTTTGTTTCACCTACGTTGAGTGCAAACATGTAATGTCCATACGGCAGGTCCCATCTTGGGATGTGCAGCGTTCGCTGGTTGAGCGATGCCTGGTCTTGCTGTAGGGCAACTGCACTGCCGTTTTGGGCGTGGGTGACCGACCAGGAATAAAAAGCCAAGTTGGTGATCTCACAGTCGATTGCGACTTCAGCTTCTATGCGGATGTCTTCAGAGTGTCTCACCTTTTTGTTGTGGTAACAGTAAAAAAAGATACGACTGACTGGAACATGTTTTTACATGGTGCCTTAAGGTGGGGCATGTGAGTTTCAGTCCTGCTAACGTGAAGTGATTGCCAGGATTATAAATTTAGTAACTTCTACAAGCTTTATGGATCAATGTCAACTGGCTGGAATTTATAACTGGTTTTATATCTATAGAACAACCCATTCCAACAGACTACATTCAGCTCACTTCATCAAACAACAAAGCTAGACACACTAGATTGAAATGAAATGAAAAATCTTCATGGGCCATCTCCCTTCTTTCCCGTGAGTAGAGTCGATACTTTCACTTGGGTAGAGCACTGACTTGCGTCAGGCAGGGTTTGGGAATTTACAAGCACTTACTGTCCTGGGATCGGTGCCTACAATGTCCATTACGGGTGGACGGCACATTCTGGTCAGGATGAAGATTTTGGATGTGGCCGTGGAGTTGCTGACCAGATTGCTCACTTCCAGGTGGAGGAAAAACTCTCCAGTTCTGAGGTGAAGTCAGAAAAAAACACTCATATCTTTTTTTTGCTTGTAGGTTTGTTTTCAACACTTATAACAAGAAACTCTAACTTTCAAATTAGGTAATGAGCCAGTTGAGGATTTCAACAGAATTACCCAAAATTCTCACCTGTTAACTCTACATATGCTGTAACAAAGAAAAAAACTACCCAAAGTTCTTACCTGTTATACTTGTGATAGACACTCAGTGCTGTGGTGTACACCTTGCCTGATCCATCCCCAAAGTCCCAGACAAAGTTCATGTCACTGCCCTTGAAGACCCAGGCTTCGAAGAGGGTGGACTGGTTGACCAGGGAGGCACTTTGGGCATTGATGGAGACGTGCTGGATGGCAGTCTGCAGGGTCAGCTCCACAGGCAGGGAGGTGGCATTGCTGACATGGTTACCGGCCAAGACAGTCACGTAGTACCTTGAAGGGGAGGGGAGGTGAACCAGAAGTATACATAAAAAGACGGAAAAATGTACTGAACTGGCAACTCAAGGTGAGATACTCATTTTAAATTTCATTTACTATGTGCGAATTCCCAAAAAGTGAAAAAAAGTAATCAACAATTTGCCAGAAAGAAATTATCATTTCTGGTAATGACATCAAGGATTCCTCAAAAGTGCCCTAGGCACTGTAGCTCGCAAGCCTAAAGGAACCTGTAGAGAGGAGACATTGAGAAGCTGATATAGTTTTTGAGGTGGGAGGAAAACCCAAGAGGAATATTCTGGGTAAAATCCACAGAATCAGGTAGGGACTGAAAACCAAATCCACGTGTGGAGTAGGCCGGGATTCGAACCCGGACCGCTGAGTTGAGAGGCAAAGAAAGAACCACTACGCCAACCTGACTCCCCCTTGTACAAGAGAACCAAAGACACACAAGGTGGAAGGCAAGTTAACTATGACTACAAAGATAATTTTTCCGAGACACGTGACGTGAGCAGCACTACATACCTGCCATGGAAGGTGTACAAGTATGTTAGCGTGTTGACCGACGTGATCTGCACGTCTCGTTGGTCACCCATATCCCAGTGGTACCAGAGGGCGCTGTTCGTGATGGTCACTGCTTCCAGGGTGATGTGGGTGTAGGTCGGGTACAGCCTCTTCTCCACCAACAGCTGGACGCCCTGGACCTGTACCTCCACCGACACCCGGCAGGTGGCCTGGGCCTTCTGGACCTTGTTGAAAGCCACCACGGTGACAGTGAAGATGCCCGGTGAGCGGTAGACGTGGCTCACCGCCGGACCTTCGACAAGAGACAAAGTGGTGTAATCACATCATCGCAAGCCCATCACAGCTCATCCATTCTTAAGTTGTGTCACACAATTGCAAGCGACTGAAATGAAACGTGCAGGCGTGCACAATTCATCAAAGCCAACGCCAGCATTTTTTAAAATTTGTCGTGGCATACACGGAAGTAAAAAATGAGGAAATCGGCTGAACCAAGAGTTGCATGGCCTACCTGTGACAAAGGTAATCCTTTAAATCTGTAAACACTACTGCTCCCCGTTGCTTGAGAATTAATTTGTGCCCGGGCATGTGATACAACTTGTGGGTTAACTTCTGATCAACTATATTTCAGTACAAACGTGAGCCAAGTATAAACTCACTGTATTCAACTCTCACTTTCAGTAGAAAAAAAACACCTAGGGGACTGAGATCAAAACCAAAATGTCAGACAACAAGGTTTTGTGCAAACTATCGTCTTCTGTACATTTCCATGTACAAATTTGAAAAGACCTGTTATCTGTGGAGATTAACTGCACAACATCTAGGCTTTCCAAAGCAAGCAGAGAAAGGGGATACATAATGGAGCACACAAGATCAGTTACAAGTACATGGCAACACATGCAAAAGTACTCACCCACATCGATGTAATCAGTTTGGTCTCCCATGGACCAGTTGTAGAACAAGTGGGTCCCTGTCTCCACTCGAACGGCCAGGTGCGACACGTTACCAAAGGCTTGGGCATAGTAGGAACTCTCGCAGCGCAGGCTGGTGGGGGGTACCTGAACATAGTACAGCTGGGGCAGGAAGCGCGTCTCATTGCTCACAAGGTTCCCAGCGGTCACACTGACGGTGTAGTTTCCCTCTGTACGAGTAAATTAATAGCTAATCAAAAATCTGTTTTTCGTGAAATCCTAAACCAAAACATGTAATTCTAATGGGCAGGATTCATGCAATTCATGGACATAAGAGATTTAGGCATGGTGTAAAAATGGATTTTTATCTTCCTGTGCATATTTTAATCCCTCATAATAAACCGTACCTTGACCTGCTGGTTGTGAACCTCAAACCTTAGTAAGACTAAATGTAAAATGGTATCATATCCAACATGCAATTCGTCAAGGACAATGCACAACGAAAAAGCCAATTTATGCACAAAAGCAGTGGGACCATTTTTCCTTGAACATCCTTTCTCAGAAGGTTCTCATTATCCATTAAGTCAGTTCCACATAGAGCTTACTGGAATCATACCTGCGAAATACTGGTGGCGTCCAGAAGCTTGGTAAGACCCGTAATCATCCAATGTCCCTTCCACTTTCTCCGCAGTCCCATCCCCGAAGTCAAAGTAGAATACCAGGTGCGACCCCCAGCACTGCGCCTGGAAGGCCAGTACCTCCGTGGCCCAGTGGTTGCTACCTCGATGGGTGAGGGCCGCTCCCCGCGCCTGGCCTGTGGGAGGGTTCAGCTCCAGGGCATAGGGGGGCTCCTGGACCACGAAGGGGACCGGGTGGGCGATGGTCAGTGGCCGGGGCTGGAGGGAGTTGCCGGCACTGACTGAGACATAGTAGGTGCCAGGCCGGCTGAAAGTGTGGGTGGCTGTGCTCGCGTTCAGGCAGCTTTGAGATACAACACAAAATAGAAACAAGTAGTTCACACCGATGCTGCATTTATCCCAAGACGCAAGGACAAGGGATCATAATCAAACAGGGATTTATGAATGAAAGACTTACGCAAATGATGTGTTCATTATGTTAACATTTTATGTTAACATTTTCTCCTCAGACGTGCCTAAAATGTTCACAAACGCATAACAGGCTTGATCATTTAAATACTGCATCACCTACAGAGTATAACACTCCTCATAATTTTAAGCCTCGGGTGTGACAACTCTCTCATTGGAAGAATGGTCTCAGTGTGAGTAAGAGGTGTTGTTCCACAGCTGAAGGTCAGTTGTTTCATAAATGGAGAGCAAGAGATCCAAGATTATATGGTGAGCTCCTAACTGTTCTTTGAGTTTCCCATACGATACGATCTTTCAAATCAGGGCTTAAACAACTCCTGCTCAAACGGTGTGAAAGAATAAGATGATCAAAACTCTTGTTACACTCACTTCATCAGGACAGGATCCGAAAAAGGGTCTTGGAAGTCCCAGGTGAAATCCACATCATTGCCAGTTTCCACCACAGCCTCCAGGACAACCGACTGCCCAATTCTGACCAGAGTTGAACTCTGGGAGGTGAGGGTCAGGCCTGTGATCCACTCCTCCACTTTTGCGGTAGTGGTGACAGTCTTCTCCGAGACCAGGTTCCTGATGCGGAAGGAGCTGTCGTACCAGCCCAGGCCCGGGTAGGTCTTGTTGAAGGTGTAGAGGCATGCCGGCGGGTCCAGGAGGTAGTCGATGACCTCTCGGCCCAGTGAGGCCAACTCCTCCGAGGAGGCAGAAAGGGAGGACTCGCCGTCCACTCCAAAGTCAATGTGGAACTCAAAGGGAGGCCCGCCTCGGACAACCACCAGATAGGTCGAGAGCGTGCCGACCAGAGCTGGGTCGATGAGGACAGTGGCTTGGACGATCGGCTGCTGGAGGGTCGTTTGGGAGTGGAACGCAACGGCGGAGATGAGATTGCTGGCATGGAGGGAGATGTTGTACAGTCCAGGGGCATAGAATGGCAGAGACACCTACAACAAACACAGAAAGTTGCCACATGAGTCCGAAATTCACTGACACCCTTGTATCTGACTAGTCTTGTAAAGAACTATCTTGTACTCTAAGACATGCCAAGGATCACAGCAATCCTACGATAAGTGCCCACTGACATCATCAAATATATCCTTCAATTTTGGAAGGCGACAGCACTTCTAACAGAAAGCCAAAACTCCAGAAAGGTGAGATGTTAGACAGCAATATCCATTCTTTTTGGTGTGAAGTTTTATTTTTTGCGATTTAATAGAAAAAACAAAGAAAAATTCTGTGCCAGATGGTGCGAGAACAACATACATCTGCATAGACGAATACGAGAATTACTGAGACAAGATTTACAGAAGGTTTTCTCCTTGTGACTTTAAACAAACTGTTCAAGACACTTTACCTTTCCATGAGAACCAGCCAGCTGGATCAGTGCCATGCTGGCCTTGGCACTTGTCTCTGTCCCATAGGAATAGTCGGTTTGGATTGGCGCGATTGTCCAGGTGTAGAGAATGTCCGTTCCCGACGAGGGTGTCACTTCCCACGTTTGTGTCATGACAGGTCTGCACGGATGACGTACAAACAATTCAAAGTTAAGCCTAAAGTTAAGCCTAGCCCCTTCACTCCTGAAACCTGGATGTCTGAGTGACCTTTGCTACTGTCTGACCTCTCATTACCTGGTATACCCAGGTGTAGCCAGGGCTACATGGTGGTACAATCAAAGCAAGTGGGTGCTGAATATCCACCCCTAAGCAGAACCAAGCTTTTCCAAACAATGGAGGCTCACAAAACGACTATTAAATGTACGCAGCACAGTTACATCGCTACCAACAAAATGAACTCTCCCCAGCAAAATTGCTCTTTTCAACAGATGAAGGGGTGCTTCTGCAATGGTGGCTATATTATCATTTTTATGTCAGCAACATTTTCCTATCCCCCAACAACATGCATGATCAACATAGCCTATGATTTGAACAAAATAGACTCTCACCCAAAGAACTTGCTCAGCACAGGACCTGTCATTTGAACACCAGCAATGACATTCTGAACAGCCACAACAGTTTCGCCCGAGACATCTTCACCTTCCTGGTGGAACCATAGGCGCAGAGGGTAGACCCCCGGGTGAGGGATGGTCCAGTTCCAGGAGACAGGGACCCCTGGGGTGACCGGATGGGTTACATTAGGGGTGCCATCTCCATGATCGATCAGGACTTGAACTGGGGGTGCACTAGCCTCCCCTGGTATCTGCAAAGTTCAAATGTAATATAATTAGGTCAGTTGGAGCTTGGAATTAAAAGATTGCCAGGTGCACCTCTTGTTTTACAGGGCAGAGGAAGACAACGCTAAATAGAATGTAACTTTTGCGTTTTTTCTTCACGGGGCTCTAAACCACATATGAATCTCACACCGTATGAAATTAAAAGGACATCCAATCTCCCTTCAGTAACTTCACCATTTCATACAGCTGTTAGAGGTATTAGTTGTGAATACTCGGGTACAGCGTTCAAAAAATTGAATTCTTGATCTTGGATTGTAAGCATCTGTATTTGAAGTTGCAGTGTGCTGTGCCCTTTGCAGGGGGGGGGGAATCCCCAGAATGTGCAGGACATTAATTCTCCAGTGAAATGGCTTGGACAAGATCCCCGGTGACACTAATCACCTTACCACAGGAAGTTATAAACTGAGGATGGTAATTGCATTCTGGGTGTCCTGCCATTAAGATTGGATAAAGGGTTTGATAGGTGCTATAATAAAAATGCTAGGCGCTATAATAAAAATGCTTCAGTTAACCTTGAAACACTGATTACCTTCATGGATTACTGGTTCACTGCCCTGGAAAGTATGCTAAAGAATGTTAACAAAACCAATACCTAAGCTCTTAGTATTAAGTTTTTTAACAACTTGTCAAGTTCTGGGGATGTACGCATAAGTAAAAGGTATTGTGGCTAGACCAAAAAAATGAGTGTGACTTTAACAATGATACACGTGGTTCCATAAAAACTCAGAAAATGTACACAAATTTTAAAGATGAACAAAGAAATGGACCAGAGAGAGACTTGAAATTAGAACCTCCAGAACACCCTAACGGCTCTCTACCAACTGACTGAGCCACCCAGACCTATGTTGGCAGTTCATACCATTTGTCAGCATGTTCAAGGGGGTACTAGTCGAAAACCAATCCTGAAAAACCATACCGTTTATGCCAACTACTCCCTAGACGTACAATTCAACATGGGAAGTTGTGATCACTCAAGATGATACCATTTTTCTAAACACAAATCATCAGATATTTTCTGACATTTTCTAAAGGTTGAGTTTGAGCTAGGTGTGTAAAGAATAATTTGGAAAGATCCCTCAGTAAGCCATCATCAGTGCTGCATGTCTGGCTTCATGCCAAGCTTACAGAATCCAAACCAGCTGATTGGCTCAGTCACTGACCCTCCTCCCGGTCCCTTCCAAACTTAGGACACATTTGGACTGTGGATAAGTGACTTTATGTGGCATTCCATTGACGGAGATATGAATGCCCAAGGAATTTCTGAACAGAGAAACACTGATTTTTGTTTCTGCTCAATGCTTTTCCTTGGGGAACGATCCCCTTCCAGGTAGGAGGTCCCGTGGACTCAAACAACTGACTTGGCTCACGTCATCAAATCAACAGTGCCAAGAAATAGAAAGACCAGATGTGCCAGAGTAGTCCCACATCGGCATCACCCCGAACTTCCTTGTCTGCGAAACAATTATACAAGCAGCAGGTGTAGTAGGCAAGGTTTTTTTTATCATTTTCCCGATAGTTTCCAAACATTTTATCATACCCCTGGGGTAAAAGGACTTGAAGGAGAGAGAGGAATGTTCTGGGACAGCGTTAGTTCTGGGTATTAAACACAGGTGTCAAATATAGGAAATGTTCAAAATTATCACTCTCTGTAAAGTAGGCAGCTACTCATCAACATAATTGTCCTGGAAATGTGAAAGCTATAAGAAGAGATTTGGGGAAGATAAGGAATATTTGGAGACATCTAATCTTACAGTCCATTAAATTTTAAATGAAGGTGTGAAGCTAAAAATGAACCAATTACCTTAAATGATGCAGAAGAATAAGTGTATTTTACAACTGCTAACAGGTACTTATGGTCCCTCCTCAACCAACCTTAATCTGGTGGTAGACTACCATTTACCAATAGGCCTAGATGCAAATGATTAACATTTGAGAATACCTAAGACAGTAAATGCATACTAAAAATCTAAATATACCATACACTTCAAATGTATATCACCTGACACCTGGGAAGCCAAGAAATAAAATCTCTGTTTATGCCAATGTGACTAAATTTCAGATAGATTTCATTGTCTTCTGCCGATACCATTTCGTCACGTTTTCTACATGCATTGTGCGATGGTACTACGTGTGAGTCCAATTCCACATGGATTGGAAAGGCATGCAGTTCTGAATGGTTGACAGAAACTTGGCATGGTCTGTCTGCTTTCTGGTATTTGCAATCACCAACAAAATAAATTGTTGCAGGAAGGTTTAACTTGATCAATTCAAATGTGAAAGTTCAGGAACCTTTAGTCAATTTGAATCTGAGCAAAGGTCAGAAAACTTTTCAGGTTCAAAGTGAACTCGTGGTGGAGTTTCAACACATTCACGTAAACACATGTAAATGTACATGATAGTTTCACGGGCAGTTCTATGTTCCTAGGCAAGACACTTTACTGCAATTGCCCTTCTGCATCCCACGGTATGTATGGGTGCAAATACGGATAGAAAACAGACCATGCTAGTCATCGAGTGCCAGATAATAAGTTATCTCATCGCTGGACAAATGGAAGACATGAGTATGCAATGATCTTCAACCCGAGTTTCAAAGAATTCGCAATTTTCAAAAACTACAAAGATGCAAGTAGCATACTTTTTTTCCTCTGTTTCCGAATCTGCACTAGATAAACCACATTTTCAAATGCTCCATAATTTTTTCCTATGAGAGATACACGATCGGAAGTACAAGCTGTTTCAACTGAGGCTTGTTTGCAACTCTACTGTCCAGAATAGATGACTTTTCCACAATTACCACAACCACAGGGGCCTTGGTGTGTGCGGTGTGCATTTGAGCGAGGACCTCTCGCTGCAAGTTCCGATCTCCCTCTTGGGAAAGATCAAATCAAATTTTACAACGCGGTGGTGCAGACAGCGGACTATATGCGGGAGACTTATGAAGGAAGCCCGGGCGAGCGGGATGTCGTTGCACGTCCGTGCATTGCACTCTCCCCGCTGCACAGTTCAAAAGCATTCAATGTCAGACAGCTAAAGATAACATGTACAAATGTCACTCTGGAGCCAAGTGGTATTAAAAAAGAAGAAGGATTATCCAATTTTATGTTGGCTGCTGACAGCGAGGAGGTCGAGGGCAACAACTGTGCAAGGTGTAAACAACTTGTTTTGCAAAAAGAAACAGGAAAAGCAAATATACCGTGTGATCTGAAGTCGAAGTTGAAGTCAAAGGTTTTGAATTTCAATTTCTAAATGTGGAGATATCTTGGATAAAGCAAGAAAGAGTTTGTTGCTGATGCAACATCACCGGCATGAAAATGAGGCCTGGACTTAGGAATGTTCAGGTAATACAATAGAAAGTCATAATTCTGTTCAGGGAGCTGTAATCAAGCACACACAAATTGGGTGTTAAAGTTACAACAATTCAAAACGTATGAATAGGAATGGTGGTGTATACCAAAGCAACCCTAATTTTAGTAAGCATGAATGCACGTCTGTAGTAAACTGAAATCCAAAATATTGTTTGCGCAGGCTTGGCAGACACTGTATTTCAAAAACACTGAGCCTTTTGGCACTGTTTTCCATTCACATCAAAAAGCATTTGGGGCAATGAGAATGTAAGTTCCATAGACTCAATTGAGTCAAATCCTTTTTTCTTTATTTCTCGAGCAATTGTTGCCTCAAGAGTATCGACAACCGCCAAAAAAAATTAAATGAAAAGTAAAACACACTTAACCCTAGCCCAACCCTCATATGCACCTAATTTTGCCTGCCAGCCACACCACACAACAAACAATCGTCTGAGGCAATCGTTAGATAAAGGGTGGGTTTGTGATGCAACCAATCCGAGATAATTCAATTTCTCAAGTTCAATAAGTACGCTGAGGAACCTGCTGGCGCCGTCACACTGGGACACAGATAAACCCGGCGGTGCGTCCATTACAGCCAGCTCTGCACACCCCCGGGCCCGCACAGGTGGGTGGAGCCCGCCTACATTATGCTGAACAGTAGGACGCGTGTTGGGCACTGGTTATCCAATTTGGGCCGGGGAGATTTTGGGGGTAGGGTTACTGCATTAGAAAGTTCTGCCAGCAACGGGCAGGTTCAATGACATCCTCACAAACCTTGTGATCTGAACTTGCTGAAGATGCTTTTGTTATTTGAATTGAAAGCAACAAGCTGCCATTTGGCTGGCAGGAACCACTGTGTATTATTTCTTGAGACTAACAAACTGATGTTTCTTTTTACATTCTGTGTGCATTTTCACAAATAAAGTTAAATACTCAAGCAAGGAAGAGTTCACGATCCTGCTTCTGGTTCAATGAGGTTTCAATCAAATGAGATTCGAAGCTTTTCATGGTGAAAGTGGCAAGCAAAGGTTATGGGTTTGCGGTAGCTCCAAGTAAACTATCTCTGTTTGTATGTGTGGCTCTCATACGAACCGGAGGGTACTTATGTGGTCATGTTAACCTTCTTACAAAATCTTAAAAAGAGACATTTCATTTTGCATTGTAACTCCTCAGATTTCAGGCCTCATAGTTGGTGGACATGGTTTGCACCTTAAGGAGCAATTACATGTACTTCAAACAAATATGCCAAGAAGTCATCAAACTGAATGCCATTTACTGAGGGATCGACTTGTCTCCACACCAGAACTATCAGTAATCCACAGTCCACCAGTGATAATCCCAGTAACACAGTGTTCTGAAATTTAATTTTGTTAGCAAATGAAAAACCTTTGAGGCCCCCTGGAGGGAAAACAGGATGGCAGTTTTCACCAGTCAAGGAGCCAGAAGGAAGGTCTGGCAGAAAAACAAAAGGTAACTGGAAATGGAGCTCTGTGGTTTACCAACCTTGATTACTTCAATTAAAAGGGCCTGGGAAAAAGGAAGACAAATTCTTGGGAAGGAATCAACTCAAAATCTTCTTCATACAAGTGTTTCTTTGTGTTTCTCCTGCAGGGCCAGTCATTTGCCATTGGTCCCACCAGGTGACTTGTTTTGAGGACTGATAGTTGATGAAATTAGCAGGAATAACCTTGCAGACTTTTTATGAGGTGAAACAACTGAGATCATAAAAGTTTGGGGTTTTTATTAGAGGAAAGGGTCTTGTTACAAAAACAGGTGGCTAGAGACTTTTGGGGGAGTCTTTGAATCACCACACCGAAATCCTGAGGAACAGATGTCAAAATAGAACCCACAAGACGTGAAATCCAATGGCCAAATGGCACACAAGCTACAAGAGAACTCCAACAATTTTTAGGGGAACCAAAAAAAGGCCAGCCCCCCATAGAAGTTGATAGAGTACCAAAGTTTCACCAAGCAGGAAAAGAGGTGTTTTTGCCTGTGATCTTGATTGACTTGGTGGAACCGGCGTGGGGAAAGAGTAAATCCCTGGAGCTGGGAATACTTCCGAGTTCAACAGTGGGCACCAGGAAAGGGTCTGCATCCACTGCTATAGACTTACAAGGGCAAAATGACAAAAATGACGGATAGTATTTGGACCCTTTAATTATAAGAACAGCCAGCACCCTCTCCTTTTCTGGGAGACACTAAATTGTCACAGCTTCTACTTAGACCATGATGAATATTCTCCCTTTCTCTTGGTGGTGTTAAGTGGAGTAGGCGAGCATGTGGGAAACAGATCGGAGACTGGCCAAGGGGGAGACAGGGAAGTCCCTTGAGAAACACCAAATGTCATGAATGGAGACAGCCGCATGGCAAAGACTGTAATGGATTTGCCACACTTTTTATAGCATGTGGTCGACCACAGGTTTTACACACACCCCCCACCACCATGTTAAAATAAATTTGGTGCAACTTTATAACAAGAGACTGACAAGTTTGCCCAAGAAGTGACAGACACATCAGTAATTGATTTTTTACTCCTTTATCCCTACTCACAAATGAAAAAAAAACAAGACTGATTTCACCAACAATGATTTAAAATATCTACTGAACATGAAAATGCTCCTAGGTCCAAGTGATGACTGAAGAAAAAAGGCAATTAGATTTATATTTATGCTTCAGCGCATAGCGTGGACAAAGTTTCAAATCTCTCACAGCACTTCATCACGATAAAATCAAACGGCAGAGTACATCGGTGCAACAGAAGTATTTAAAATAAGGGTACCAAACAAAAAGCAGTTTGACAATGGACGACAGGCTGGGAAAAACATGGAAACCGTTTAACATTCTCAGTGTTATAACAGACACTCAAACAAAATCCAATTAATATGCTTTGAAGCCATAGCATGAACACCACAGTAACCAAACGCAAAGCAAATTGGAGCATGAATACTTACTGCGAATCCAAAAGGCAGCAAAAAAAACACACAGATGGAGAAGTTAAAAATGCGATCCAAATAAAGGGACGCAGAGACATTGAGACCCCCCAAAAAAGATGCATTTGCACTACAGTGACCATTCATTAGATGAAAAATATTCCCCTCAAAGACCTTTACACACATAAACACACACACAAATGTTTTGAAGGGTGTCAAGAAATGCAACCGGTCCTGCTTAGGACAAAATTGTGGAACTAATCGTCAGTCTCTACTGTTGGTTGTCATTTTGCCAGTTTGGACAAAGACCGTTTCTTTCAAAATGTCGCTACAATATTTCCTTCTCTTTACGGTGACAGTATTCTGTTGAATAAAATGAAAGCATAATGAACTCAGATCAGCCAAAAGACTGACGGTTAAGCTTTACTACAGAGTAAAATTAACTTACCTGTAAAGTGCACAACAGGGGAGCACCTGCCTCTCCATATACTGGACAGTCTAGGGAGTACTTTGTCTGAGGGATGGAAGAATCTATAATCATTTCCTCTTGGCTTGCATCCACTGTCAAGAAAAAGAAGAGATACCAATCAAGCAATCAATATGAAAACAAACACTGCTTTCACATTAGGGGGACCAGGGATAGCCTTGAGCATTACATTGGAGTCATAACTGCCTCCGTTTACCCGAAACTGGCATGGAACTGTGAGGGTTTTCATCACAGTTTTATCATGAAAAGTAGAAACTGGTAATTATGACCCAAAAAATCCTTTAAAAAGAAATGCTCAACTGTATCCTTTTTTTCCAGCCAACTACAAGGGATTTTTTTCATTGTGCAATATGAGTTATACCGCCTCTATGAGAATACAACACTGGTGCCAATGGGGCAGCAAGTTAGTGCTGAACATACAAAGGGGGTCTAATTATCCACAAGAGGGTTTGAATGTCCTTGCGCTCCCCAGACACAAGTGATCAGGCAGACAATTGGAGCCTGAGCTGAGGGGGGTTCTGACACTTTGCCGATGGCAGGGCCTGTTACAGCTTACTCAGGGGGAGTCAAGTCAGTGCCAATTTTTAGGGGGAAATTGAGATGACTGTCAGATCTGAAAATGAGGTTCTGGAGTGAAAGGGTGGGTAAGTCTGTTACTTGTGAATGATCCAGTTACCGAGACAAATGAAAACCCTCCTTTTTGGCACTGCAGTGACTTGTTATAGTCCACTATAAATATGTTACCATGACACTCAAAGACAACTTCAGAAAAAAAAAACTCTCAGTTGAAACAATATATTTTATTAAACATTATGAAAATGTGGCCATGAGATCCGCTCAGCTCAGACCCTTGACTATGGATTGCCTTCTCCATCCTGCTGGCAGAACTCATCAAACACGACCTCCTCCTTCCAAAGTCTTGATTTTTTATTCTTTTTTTTTTACAAAACTTGCATTCCATTTTATATTAACAACACTTGACTGCTTTAAAATACTTGCGAGGACTTGCTAAAAATTGACTTGATTTGAGCATGACTTGAGAACAAATTTGACTTGTTGACATTACGAACTTGTATTTACAACAAACGCAAGGAAACATGCATACACAATTAACATGAAAAAATGTTAATATGAGACTAAAAAAAAACCACAGTGCAAGAAGTACCAAGGAAGCTGGTCGCAGTACAAGTAACGTACACTGGCCAGCAGCTTAACCTTGCTGGAGCTCCCTCCTTTGTGGCAGGGTAGATGGACAACTTTTGACTGATGATGACAATCTTTTCCTACCCCCCAAGGATACTACTGAAGTGAGGAATATTTCAGGGGGAAAAAGGGCCCGTTAAATGGAAGAATTGGACAGGAGAAGGTCGGTGTGTTTTAATGAGATTTAGGTCTGCTGGTTCCCTAAAGTATTTCTGTTATTCCAGGACGCCAAAAAGTTGGATACTTTATCATTCCGAAAAAACCCAAAAACTAAACACTCTTGATTTGAATATAACAAAATCATGACCAGATCTGCATCTGACAGTGCCCTTAACCTTAACTCCTTAGGGTGTGTGCAAAATCATATTAAAATGGGAAGATTAAAAAATGTTAGGACTATCCTTGACTTAATTTTGTACTGGGGTCACTTTGAATTCCACATTAAACACATTAGGAGAATCAGAGAACCTTTAATATTTTTATAAGGCTTAGCAAAGAAGTTGACGTAAGAGGCCTTAGATGTCGCACTTAGTCTTACGTGTTAAATGGAACTCCATGTTCTTAAATCAGGTTTTACGGGGGGAGAGGGGGGGCCTACATCGTCAAATACCTTGGTTACTGGCTTGGACCACTACTGGTTCTGGATGTAAGCAGACCGGCAACGCAAGCAGGGGGCTTGCGCTAGTGATGTTTTCATCTCTGACCTGCCAGGTGTACATCACATCTGTGCGATCTGGTATTTCACCTGCGGTAGGAGACAAAATGTAATGCTTGTGATTTGACAGACACAAGAAGCCAACATTCATGAAAGCTTGAATATCTTCAACAAGTGTTTCACATACTAAGTGCAAAAACCCAAGCACTAGCAACTTTCAACTTGCGCGGCAAAATCAGCTTTCAAGCCCCAGTTGTACCCACCGTCCAATCTTGCCAGTAAAATGAGCTGCCCACTCCTGGGGTAAAACTCTTGGATGGAAACACTTCCCACTCGATCCTGCACTGCCACACAGAGAGTGGCATTCTCTGAAGAGATGTTATTGCTGATGATGACAGTCACATGGAACACTCCTGGATCACTGATGACAAGTTCAAGGATGTAGTTGTTGTCATCTGTGAGATGCTGAATGTTGGGAGTGACCTGGCCCATCTCTGTGTGAACAGAGAACATGAGGTGAGTACCTTGGAGGAGCGTTACGTTTATGAGGGTGGGATCGCCCAGTAAGGTGGGTCCAGTGCTGATGAGACTCAGTCCCATTACTGGGTCCTGCACGAGGACGCCTTCGGGGAGATGCACAGTCTCAGAGCTGACGTCATTACTGGCAGTGACGCTGATATTGTACACCCCGCTTGTGTAGAAAGTGTGGTTGGCTTGAGAGACTGCCGTGGCACTTGAGAGATAATCCTGCTGTTCCGTGATTCCTAACAGGTCCGAGAAGTGCCATGTGAATTGTACGGTAGTACCTGCTTCTATGGAGGCAGTGAAGGGGATGGAAGAGCCAGTTGGTAGTATCCCACCACTGCCACCATTTATCGAAAGGCCCCTGATGACTTCCTGAACTGATACTACAACTTGTGCAAGGGCCATGCTCACAAGATTTGAAGCATTGACTGCTAGCAGGTACTGGCCCGGTGCAGTGAAGTTATGGAAGCAAGTTGGCTCTGAATGACATTGTAGATGAACAGTAGCATTGTTTGATACCACAGACCACAGATATGACATGTTTGTGGTTACCACGGGCATCACAAGGCTAAAATTGGCTAGGGCGTGAGTGGCGTACACATTCTGCATTTCTATCTGGATTGATCTGATAACTTCTTGGACAACCACAGAGGAGCCAAGTGTGACCACGCCGGCTTTCTTGCTGTCCCAGTCCTGGAAGACACTGGCTTCCACGGCGAAGACACCAGCACTCCGGTACCGGTGGCTCAGTGACACAAAGAGGGTACATCCCTCGCCGTAGCTGGCGGTGAGGTGCAGGTGCGCGCTATCCTCGTCGCCAACGGTGATGAAGGTGTCGTTGATGTCATACATGCTGTGGTTGAACACCGACCCGTCCCCAAAGTCTACCTGCAGCAGCACCTGCTGCCTCGCTGTTGTTGCCATGGTGATGAGCAACCCCAAGCTAGCATTCACCTTGTTGATGAAGGCCGAGTTGGACGACACTGACATAGTGAGATTTGTTATCTCACGACTAACTACCACCTGGTAAAAAAAATAAATAAATGCAGTCAGCTTAAGAAACAGTCCAAGACAGATTGAATCATAGAGTGTAGATTGAAGGCCATTATGACCAACATCAGGACTGTAAACTGAACTAAAGTACTACGATGAAGACTTACCACATGTAGAGTCTTTTGAATACTGCCAAGATAATTGGAGACGTTGACCGTCACTTCATACACGCCCTCTAGCGTAAATCTTTGTACCTAAAAAATGAAGGGAAGACAGAAACATGCTTCACTCGTTGTTTGCTGTTCACTCGTAGCTATTCTCTTTAAAAAGTCCTATAGTCTTTGTCTTAAAAATACAGGGGTAAAATCTTGGATTCCAAACTTTGTCATCTTGACCTGCACAGTCATGTGTCTTATTGGAAGTCATATTCATCAATTATTGAAAGAAATTTCAGTTTTGTTCAACAAGATGAACTTAACTTTGAATTGTAAAATGGGGGAACATTTGGCAGACATTTAAATCCTTCAACTCTGAGTAATTCCATGTCACTGGACAGAAAGTAGTAGACTGTTATCTTGGGGGGCATACTGAGGTGTAAATACATTCTCATCACAAGTTATCTAGACAAGGGACTTAAGTGCACTCTTTCAGTTTCAAAGGATATTTGTGTGTAGATTTGACCCAGATTCGCTGCATGTGGGTCACAGACAAGCACTGGTTTTGGGCCTTCCCGCATTCACCAGAACGGGTGACCACAAGTTGGCGGCAGGGGAGTTGTAAAGACAAGGGGAGCAGTGACATGCACCATTAACAACCTCACCAGAAATTGATCAGTAAATCAGGGAAAAGCGGTCTCCTAAGTGGTCTCAAAGTTGTGATAATGAGGCCAAGCGGACAAACCACAGGGCTGTCAAGTCTCAGCCCTCAGGAACAACTTACACCCTCGGCAAATTACGCACTGAGATTTACAAATGAAACCCAGCTTTCTCAAAGGCATTGACCCATAGTTTTGTCAATTATTTGGGTCCGACCATACCAATGGACAACTTTGTCTGCTGCCAACAAGCACTTGGCTAAAACTGAAGCTAAATATATCAAATGTGAAGTGCTGTTTTGGGGGGATATTAGATCAGTTTTTCTTCCAACTTCAAAGTGGTACTTCAGAACATAGATACAGACAAATTAAGATAAGCTCATGACTCAGATACTTCAAGTCCTAAGAAAAAAGAAAGAAAATACAAAAACTGGGCATAGTGTGGAGAGTTTTTTAAGTGGACAGATTTACGGCAGGTCATTGCTGGTTGTTGGAAATGGAAACCTAATAGAAAGACAGTGACTTCAGGATATCCACAAAAAATGACCTCAACAACTTCCCAGGACTAAAATATGACAATTTCACATCATTTTGTGGAGCAAAGTTGTTTAGTATTATGAACTGGAAGACTGCCACAGCCGCTACTATAGACAGAGTGACAGGATTATCCATTTCGTACGTGACTTTGTCACAAAGGTAGACGCGTCACGATGCCCGTGCTCCCATTGGACGATCACAGAAGTTGCGCGCTAACTTCCGGTTCCACGGTTCCACATAAACGGCGATCAATGCATGTAACCCTATGTGCAGTGCACACGTGCAGTGGGCGTGGTTTAAACTGAAGTGACATCACACTTACGAACTGGATAGACTGTACAGTTATCATTATTCCATCATCCATCAAATGCGGCCTGTAGGCCATTAGAAAACTCCTTGCATGATCGTGATTTCCATGACTTTTTTCCTCTCAAAGCAAGAGTCCGTGACATCCTATTTTCCCCCCAATTTTCCACGACCCCGCGGGAACTCTAGATCTGATGTGAAATCTGAAGGGATGACAGTTGAGCCAGGCTTGGGGTGACGGAAAGTTGGGATGGGGTGGAGCTGCAGGAGGGGGAGGAAGATGGGAATCTGTATCTCTCAAGTGTGACCGTGGAGCTATTGAAAGGGAGAGCGCTATTTCTCCAATTGCTGTTCAGGAAACCCTACCATGTTGTGAACATGCTTACACAGTAAAAGAAAATTTGTAAAAATCTCAAATAAGCTTTCTGGTAGATACCTGTTCTAGAACAACGCAGCAACAACTATATTTCTTTTCAAGGAAACAAACAAGGCTGCCATTAAAATTCCGATAGTAACATTTGGACATAGACTCTATAAATAGCCACGAGAAACAAAAGGAGAGAAACTTGGCCCCAATCAAGAGCCATGAGTGATTTAAGAGATTTCCTGGGGTTAACAGGGTGGTGTTTCAGGCAGTTTATGACTGAGGTGATCCTACATTCCTGAAGAGAGAGGGGGGTTTCATCAACTGGACAAAGTGATTTTACATCATTGTGCTCAGGAAGAAAAAGGCAATGGTGACACTAGAGATAAAGCTACTTCAATTTGAGATAAGTAAAATTTGTTGGTGATGTCAAACAAAGTTGAATTTGTGGTAAGGTATTTTGCACTAGGGAGGGCCCTAAGACTAAAACAAAACTACTTTTTTTCTTTCCAGGGTAAATTGACGAACTTTAGAACAGAATTCCTGTTGGCTCACAGAAGGGGATAAGACAGCACCGTCGCCAGCTTCAGGCATTCAGGGGGGCCACAGTATCGGCTAGGGGGGCCATATCACAGGAACAAAATATATTTTTCATGCTTGTGCTTCTTACTGATGGGGGAATAGCTTCCCAACAGGGAGCCTAGGGCCCCCTTGGTGATGGGCTGGGATAAGAGAATTTTGACTAAAAAAGTCTGGATACAATTAACTGGCAACCCAGGAAAAACTAGGCCTTAGAGCCCAACGGCCTTTTCCCATCCACTGGCTTGAAACAAAAGCCCCAACATTCCTTTTCCAGGCCAGACGGGGCATTTCTGACCCCATCCTGGGACCCTGGAATACCCCTTTCCCGAACCCCCAGGACATAAGTGGCATTGGGGGTCCAGCCAATACCTCAAACCTATCACTGATCTCTTCAGCCTGATAAAAGATGAAAGAAAGCCGCCAGTGAGCAAGTTTTAAATGAATAACATCCTACTCTATCACCCCATTTTACCAAGACTTGGAAGAGAACAAGGACGGGAGATGAAATCCAAACCAGATGGGTACTGAAGTAAACAATTCCTGGATTTGGTGAAAGGGCAACAAAGCAAAGCCGACTTCAGGGATAAAAACAAGCAATTATAGAATTTGGGTAACGGAAAATGACACGAAATTACAGCTTCCCGTGCATTAATATAAACCCAACCATGGAACAATTTTGCAATGTCAGAGTTTCATTTTTTCCCCATGCCTGTTTTGATAGAGAATCACACGTATCAAACAAGTTAAATGGTGACACTACACTGCAAGACGTCAGCCAAGAAGCAAGGCGTGTGATTGTAGCTTTTGAGATTTTTTGACCATCGTCTTAGAATTTAAGGTAATGCCTTGATGCTGCTGAAGGACAATGTGACAGCGACTGAGAACTGTAGAGAGTGAAATCTCTCCAAGCTTTAACTAAAACCTTCACGTACCTGGATATCCTGCATGCAAGTGATCCCTTCGCACTCGGGCTCTTCTAAAGACACTTCCGTGACGTTTAAACTGTCGTCATTGACGCCACCAAATGCCCACGCAAATGTCAAGTTGACTCCCATGGCCACCGAGGCCTGAAACTCCACCTCTTCCCCTACGAAGACTGATACGGCGGGCAGGGACGCTGCAGCCGTAACGTCTGACGCGGGAACGCAGGAGGGAGCATCACCCTGGGTGGGCCGCAGAATGACCTGGAGGTCGGAGGGCAGAGGGCGCACCACGGTGATGCCAGTGGTGCGTGTGAGAGCAGATATAGCATTGCTGACGTCCACATCTGTGCACAAATTTTTAAACATATTCACTAAGCTGACATTTCTGGAATATGTAACTAAGTTAGCTCATTTGCTCAACAAAGAAACCTATCCGTACTCAAGGTAGCTTTCAGAACCTATCCATGTGCTTTCCGTCACCAACGACTGATGTATTAAATATCTCTCTCTCTCTGTTGACTGATGCCTCGTTCATGATGAAAAGTAAGAGTTTAATTTGTTTTTCAAAACAAACATTTTTTTTTTAATCAAAGGGAGGAAACCCTAAGCAGTGTCAACAATGCATTTAGAAAATTTTCACGCTGGGTTCGATACAAATGCCTACTCCATTTTCTACATAAGCAATAAAATGTGAAACAATGATGTGGTACCCAACCGGCCGTGTAACTTTCCACCAATTGATTATTTTCACTGGACACCTGATTTTTTTTAAAGTGAGAATAGCTTGTAAGTTTAGTAAAAGCATACACCGTACCTCCAGACACAAGACAACAATTTCACATTGCAAAGGGAATAAGGAGCAGTAGATTTTGAAATCTCTGATCAGGTGATCTGGGGTCTACCATGGAGCCCTGGGTTTACTGACCGGCATGCTGCCCCAGTGAGGCGAAGCAGCCGAGTGACAGGGGGCAAAGCCGGCAAATCTTGCACCAATTTGGGTCCGGGTGTGAGGCCTGGCAGGAGGTCCAGGCTGGCATTGCAAAAATGTATTCTTAATAGCACGCACTAGCAATCAATGTGTCTCAAGCTATCACCCGGCTAACAAGTTACATCCTCATCTTTTTAGTGCATTTACTGATCTTGCAAGTTTTTATCCATTTTTCCTCTTTCAGTCACTTTTTCACTCCATGATTCTTTCAACTTTAACACCTCCTTGAATGAGGATTTACAGCGAATTTGAGACATTTGGCACCCAAGCATTTGTTGTGCAACATATTTGTGGTTTCACAGCATAAAAGGGAATTCAATTTCAACTTTGTTGACAAATATGCATGTGGTACAGGAAAGGTTCAGTTTACTGAAAGACAATAGTTGTTGTCCTAAACTTCCACTTTACTTACCCTTTTCAATGATTTTTCCTTTTGAAATATATTTTACTTAATATATAAAACAAATTCCACATTTGTTAGGTTTCCCTTCAACTAGAGTCTACAAGATACTTCCTAAATGTTGGTACATGACACAAAAATTTAGCGGTTTAAAAGCACGCCCTTGAAGAAATTCCAGGCTTTTTCAAAACCAATTTTCATGACCAGAAACCATGACCTTCACCTTGGCAGAATTTCTTTTGACGAGGTTAAACACCTCGTGCCAATGTCCAGTGGAGGGGGAGCTGTCTAGGGGTGTATCGCCCTCCAAGCACAACAATGCCTACATGTACATCTACAAAACAACTGTCTCTGGCTTGTACAATCAGTCAACGGGACGCATCGGGTCAATGAATTCTTCATGAGGCAAACATGTTTAGGTGGAGATAATTTTAGAAGTTCGTTAACAGGCCAGCCGAAGAGTTCAGTTCAGTTAAAGGCACATGTAGGTATTCACAGAGAGTGAAGCAAAAAGACAGCTCTTCCGTAATTTTGAGCTCTACAGAGTTCAACTGGCTACTTCAATCAACTTTGTGAGTCAGTGCAAAACAAATTTCAGGTGTTTTCATACGCCTAATACCAATGTTGGCCAAAACAAAATTTGTGGGAAACAATTCAACGGCAGGATTTTAAGATTAAAATACCGATCATGCACGGGCAAACAAGGATGGAAAGGTTTCACTTCTACTATTTTACGTATAGGCCTATCTATTTCATGACAACATCTTATTCATTTCAAAAACTAAATGTCTATTCCAGGAAATTTTTGTACAATGTTCATTCCATTCATTTCTTATTATCCTTACAGGCAGTGCTTCCGCAGGTTCTGCAATGAATGTGATGATGATCCCTTTGATCTTTATTTCTGATGGTGTAAAATCAACATTACTTTCCACTCTCATCACGTGTACAACTAAAACAAGTTGACCGAGTGTGAAACAGCAATACCACCAGTGGTCTGGAGTCAATGATTCATCACTGTTTAATAACAGTACAGTGGAATCTCACAATAAAGGCTGACACAAGCTTCATACATTCTTACACAACGGCCTTTACAAGTATAAGAGGGAGCCCAAGTATTATTCCGAAGACACCTTGAAAGTGCTTAGCCAAACAGTGATCTTCCAAGGAAGATGTAAATCCCCCTGTGCTACCAATCCCTCACGCCGTGAATTGGTACAGGGGCCCCATATGCAGCAGGTATGCATCGCTACTGCCCGCAGCACAGAGCGAGCAATCCCAGCAAATCCCCTCCTTTCAATCCATTCCTTAGTGGCCGCCCAGAGTCTGCCATTGTCAGCACAGCCCATAGCTTTCCACAGAAAGGAACTTTCCCCCAAGGTATATCACCCCTTACACTAACAACAGCAGTTGCCCCTGCACAAACAGCGGCAGTGTGAAGTAAAAGCAATGTGATCGAAATCCAACTTTAGGAATCCTTACTCCCAAGGCTTAATTCATTTTACCCCACTAGTTCCATAACACAAGGACAGGGGTGCCCGATGGTTAACAGTGTTCTAGCAAACATACCCAAGTTGTCCTTCCATTGCAATTTGGAATAATGTACAATCCCTTAGAGTGGATGTAATTGATAACTGTTTGCAATCTCATTATTTTCAAGGCAAAGCAACTTTTTTTGCTGTTTTTACACATCAGTACAGACAAGCTTGAGCGTTAATAAACTCAAAAGTTAACTTATTAAAATGAGGAAAAGCATTTTTCCATTTGCACCATTAGCAGTTCATATTACTTTATCTACAATTTTTGATTGATTGCTCTGTCTAAGTTGGTAACATTAAAAACTTAACTAAGTAAAAAACTACGCAAAATGAAAACAAATTGTTTACAAAAAAGTTAAGATTGAGTGAGAACTGCACAGCAATTTTTAAAAAATCTACCTACCTATGAGCCATCTCCCCTCATGACGAAAAGTATACACAAAACTGTCTACGACAGAGGAGTTGCCATAGTGAAGGGACGTCTCCGCAATCCGTTCACCATTTACATTCCACCTGAAGACAATTTCATCAAACTGGCTGCCACTGAATCCATCTAGACCTGAAAGCAGTACATATAAATTTGATTTACACAAGTTTAGAATCTTTGTTAACTTCACTATCCAAAATCTACCCTAAGAATCCAACACCTGTTTTTTTTCTGTATTAGGACAGAGTCGGGTCTGTCAAGCACAGACATTGACACTTGCATCTGTCCATTTTCTGTTGAACTACATGTACCTGTACAGAGAATGCACAGGTTTTCAGTTTTTTCCCTTCAGAAGCACGGAGTAAGGATCGAACGGCACATTCACAATGGCAATACTACGTGTAAAGTTTAGCTCAAGTGAGATACTTTTACACTACTACCCAAAACACCAAAAAATTTACAATGAAAGAAAATCATTTTTGACATCAGCAGATGAAAAAAAAAATGAATTCATGCAATTTGATTACATTCTCTACCTCAAGTTGCATCCCAAATCTGTTTTCAAAATTTCTACACAGCCAGACAAATCAACTTTGACTCGTTTTTTTTCTTTGACTTGGTTTCTGTGTATGAAAACTTGCCAGAAAATGGTTGCAAATAGGTCCCTACTTGGCAGACAAAAGACTCCAATTTGGAAGTCTTCCAAGAGACAGAAAAAGTCTGACAAAGGCAAGACAATGCAAACATCAGCGCTTTGTCTGCAACTGGAAATTATATACGCTGACGCCTTGTCCAGACCATACTGAAACGGCCCGACCACCCACGAGAGCTTACATGCAAGGGATTTAGCAGTAATCTCCCCTGATTTATGATATTTCCTTTCCCCATTTTTCTTGGCTCCGGCAACATTTGCACAACTGTTAGTCCCAAAGAAACATGAACCGTGGTCTTTCTGATCCCCAGACAGATGTGTTGGTGTTGCTACAGATGTGGGCTGGAAACACCTGTGAACGTGGAGGGTGAAGGAATATGGGCCAATGTCCTACGACTGGTGGCAGTTCAAATATAACCACACAGTTCACACACGCAGTGGGAGCCACTGCAGGCGCGGGGCTAGGAGGAATGAACCCCCCCTTCAATTTTTCCCCACTTCTCAGTTAGCTCAACCCCTTACACCACAACACACATGTACAGGTGCACAGAGACTAATTCTGACAATTTTAATGGCTGTTGAAAAAAATGTGCAAAGTTTCAACTTCCAACTAACGTCAAATGTTGTCATTCTTAGTAAAATGTTTACCCCTGACCAGGGGAAATGCTACAAGAGTTCTACATGTGCATGTGATGCCTGTGAGTAATTTTAATACACTAAACATGTGGGGTTTGGGCTACCGACAGTCATGAAGTTGCCATTTCACAAGTATCAAAGATTGTATTTTTACTTGCACTGGACCAATTGTAATCGAACATTATACGGACAGACCATTCTTTTCCTCTTGAATTTTCCTCCTGTTACCCACAAATTCTCAAGTCACTTCTCCACTACAGTTCTCAACCAAACATCTTTGGAGGATACTTCAATTCGGGAAGTCGTGCCCTGCAACAAATCTCATTTCTACAGTCCCCACCCAAACAAAAATAATTGAAATTGCCTACCTAAGTCTTCCAGTTCATCCCTTGCCAGGGCCACTCGGGCCTCGAAGCGGACTGTGGTCCCTTCCTGCACCAAGTGTCGAGACCGACTCAGCTCGGCGGTTAATAAATAGGGACCGTCCACCGAGTAGACACTGACTGCGCCGTCACCTCCGCACGGTAGACTGACATTTCCACATCTGTTTGTGATATTTTGTAACTTGTGAATCCACAAATTTACTTCAGTGCTAAAATGTTCCTTCTACATTTGATGAAACCTGGAAATATTCAGGCAAAGCTCTGACATTTGAGGTGTTTTAGCAAAAACATTAGATTTTCCTCTTTTTTGTTTTTTTTTCCTATCACAGCTATCGCACTGTTGCTGTACTGTACAGCGAACATGTAATCTAACATTAGCAAATGCAGGACATTTTTAATAAGATAAATTTCTCTTCAAGGGCCGTAAAGGCTATAATTTAACTGGCAGATAAAAAATTTGGCAGAAAAAAAAACTGGCAGATCACAAATTTTAAAAAGAGGTCAAGAGAAAACTTACGTTATATTGCATAATTGGTCTGGTAACCTCTCTCCTATTACACTGCTACAGGTACAATTGGCACCTTGTCCATGTATACCAGCATACAGGAATCTGTATTGCATAAATAAACTGAAACTATGACAACAAAGCACCCCAATGTGTTCCAATCCTTAATCCTCTGAAGTTCAACAGACATTTTTCCAAAACCCAGACCATGCAATGCCATTTAGGCATGATAACTTTGAAGAGAAAGAAGAAGTGAACGGGAAAAAACAGTTGTGGAAGTTACAAACTTGTGCTTTGAGCCAATGACAGAAGCTGTTCCTTTCGGATCAAAAAGCTCTGCAGGACCACCCACACTGATGAAATAATTATTGTTAAGGCAAAGAAAATGTACAATTCTTTGGGGAATGACATGTCCATTTTATAAATTCTCAGATTAAAAAAAAAAACAGGAAATGACAGAAGTTTTCAACGTTTTATTTCACCATGTAGCAAAACCATTCTGATTGACATAAGCATTAAGCATCTCTCGAGAAAAGATATAAACTTCTTCCTAACACGACGGCTTATCACAGCATATTCCTACACAGTATGTAGAACACTTTGATAAATCATGAGGATTTAATTTTTTAATTTGATTTTTACCCTCTTGCCCAACAAGAGCTTGCACATGAGGCTGGGGTGAACTCCAGATTCCCATCTGAGTCTTGCAGTGAGCTCTCTGATGATGTGTTGCCGTGAGTACATCCTAAGTACCATGACGACCCTACATCAAATAAATTGTTATCATTAAAATTAAGTCCGTACAGGGTACTCAACTGCAAACAAACTCACTAGCAATCCCTACAATGCTCCAAGAAATAAACTCCAGAACTAAGATCAATTTTTCTTCATAAGATTTCACATTCACCCTTGCATCAATCCATTTCAGCTCACGACTTGAACTATGAAAATACTGGAAAACCCTAAATAATTAATCCTAGTGAAAGTGCAGTTTTCAAGGACTGCAGTATAACTTTACACAGCATGGGCTATTAAATAATATAACCTTTTGGAAAAGAACTTTAAACTTGTAAGAACATTATGAAACTACTCTTATTTATACACAGAGACTTTTTGGGGGGGTGCATAAAATATCAACCTCAACGGTCCAGTATTTTTTGTTACCAAACTTTCTGTCTGCCCTTAGGCTAACAGAGTTGCTAAAATAAGCCAGCAACAGTCCAGCAAATCCTTGATAATAACGTCCAGGGATTTATTTTTATCCGGACCACCCTCTGAGTTCCTACCAATGGTTACCTCCCTGAAACGTTCTCCTACATTTGGCATAAGGTATGCTTTGCATCTGTGAAAAACAAAGATGACAAGGAATTCTAGGTTGGCCAGCCGGCCGAGATCTTCGATGAAGCCAGTTTAGGGCCTATGACGCAACATTTGTATGTTAATTAAATTTTATTTTATCAAAGATTTTTACCAACATCAGTACATGTACATGAATAACGTATATGGCAAAAAAAAAAGATGATAAAAAAGTTGTAAAGGAGCAAAACTCAAAGTGGAATTGTGTCACACATGTTCTTTGGTAATTAGCCTGCTGTTACTGCCGAGCACTGTTTCTGAAGAGTGGCTACAATATTATGGCCTTTTTCTTTTTCAGGATATGCAATAATTTAGCTCTTGAACAACTGAAAGCATAATTGTGGTCGACAAAAAGTTCACGTCATCGATTCGAAAGTTGAAATTCTTTACTGTTCACTGCCCATGCATGACTAGCCACGCTGCATGTAACAGTTTCCCTGTCTCTACTGAATGGCTTGGCCTGCTAGAATAATCCGACAAACATGTCGGCCAACAAAGGCATTTTTCAGCAAGAGCGATGAGCCGGTGTCTGGTGTAATAATGGAGTTTGGGAGGCACTTCAATGGGTTGTGGCGCTTTCTGAGTGGGTGAGTGAGCACCGTCTGGCTTCCAACTGCTGTAGAGTGTTGATAATGGTTTAAGGTTACTCAACTGAAACGCATTTTTCACATGGATCAATGTGTTGAACAGAACTGTTCAACTGGTCAGATGAAATGATATTCAAAGAGAAGACATGGGAAGTCTTTAAACACCTATCAGTGAACTTAAAGTTTAATCAAATGATTCAATGGTTGAGGATAAGTTACATGTGCATGCTTCAGTCAAGATAAGTTTCCCTTAACTCTACTCAAAAGTACATGTACATCCACACTCCGAACATACAGTGTTGCAAGTATAATCCGGGACAAAATAAGATCAATCTGCCCAAACTCAAGTTCAAGTGTCCAAAACAACAGTGACACCATTAGCCTAAGGATTCAGAGTGCATGTAATCTGATTTTGAAATATGAATCAATGAGACAATTTTTAAGAAAACACTAGAGACGTTTTGCATACAGGTGTCTAAAACATGCATGGGTTACTCTATACATGTAGGCCTACGTATATTCCAGGTCCAAAAGCGTGACACTGTTGTGTCCGTGTTATACCAAACCTGTGCAATTCAACATAGAATATGACTGAAATTGAGTTCAAACAATTTATGTTTGTTTGGCAGGTGATATGAATCACTTACATGTAATCACTCTTGGGCAAAAAAAAAAGTCTTCTGAACTTTCACAATCATGTCAGCTGAGACTTGGACTCACACAAAATTAAATCCTTAATTTATTGAAGGACCCAAATCTTTATTTTCATACTGGTAATAAACATGTGTAGACCCCATCTTGTTACTACAAAGTTTTTTCGAAGATTCTCCTCTCTCATCACCAGTATTTCAAAGATAATTTCAAACTGGCATATTTGACTTTACTGTTGCCATATTCCTTTCGAAAATATTTTCATCATGTTTATTTTCTCCCCCAAAATTTCAGGGAAAGTGACATCACTTGACACTCTGTACACAAACCGTATGAGAACCTTGGGGTCTGAAAAATTTTTAAAATGTTTTTAAAGTAAATGATTCAATATTTTCACTGCTGAATTTGACTTTGGGGGCATGTTATGATTTTGTTATTATTTTCTCATGGCTTACAAACAAGTGAGAATGGAAAGAGTTCCATATATATATATACAACACTCGATTCTCCTGCGCACAGTATCAGACTTGTCTGAAAAACCGAAGTGTTTTGTAACTGCCTCGGAATTTTCTTACCTAAATTTCACTTTTTAGGGCATGTTGTCACTTTTTGATGGCTGCTGTAATATTTTAAGGGAAAATAAATAATGTCCACAGATGCAACTCTTATTAATGATGAGAAATAAACCTTTTTCAACTTCAAGTTGACTATATTCTTCTGTTGGTCAAAATTCAATAACACTAATGCTAAAAAAAGGTCGCTGCACCTTCTAAACATGCCAATAGGAGTTTATTTTTACATGACGTGCCTGGCAATGGCAACACAAAAAGATGAACAAGCACCATGATTTGCATACAAACATGACATTGAAAAAACACGACACGGCAAATCATTTTCTTCGTTACAGAAACAAATACATATTCTTAAGCCAATAGTTAACTAGGAAGATCAGTATCCTGAAATGATAGCCATGCAAAGCTAACGCAATTCCCTGTTTCTTGTGAAAGAGTACGAAAGTTTCCGCGCAGCACTCAGCATTGAAAACCTGCCGGAAGGAAAGCCCACTGCGACCCCACGACATCATGGCAACACGGGACGCCAAACCACTCGACTCTCTTAACTTTCTCGGACTTTCGTCGATGTGACAGGACTTTTTACTTACCAGCGACAACCTGGGCGAAAAGGACCGCATGAATCCCCCAAAACAGCACTGGAGTGACCCTGGGCTCCAGGCATTTCATGGTGTCCGGGAAATGAAGTCCATAATCCAAAAGCGACGATTCTATATCAACAAATTTCCGTCATTTCTACGCAAAAGTTTCACTTCCGCACATGTTCTCCGCATACGTATACGTTCATGTACAACAAGGATTAGCTTGGCTGTGCAGCACGCATCACCGGTCAACAGCGCACTTGTTGTGTGCGGTTTTGTTTACCCCAGGGCCATTTTCAATCTCAGCATCTCATAACTGGAACTACTTTCCTTCTATATCACTGCGCACAAACATACCCACCCACCGTCACAGACAGGTCATTTTTGTCTGGAAATAATGACTATAATTAAGCATATTAATAATTCCTACAAGAAATTCCGGAAATTATATTTGCTGGTTGACAGTTTGTCGTTTAACTGATTTCATGAATGAGGCGGATGATTACATGTTCACTAGCGTGATTGTTTTGTATCTGAGTGTATAGCAGGTGCGAAGTTGCGTACCGCGCATGGTGCTATACTGTACATTAAAAGCTGTATGGTACCATGTGATTCTACCTCCATGATGGTACCGAGGCGCATTTTTTCCTGCCAGCTATTTGATCCCAGCATAATTGAACTATATAAAACATTGTTTAACCTCCCCTTTTAATTTCACCCACTTACTTTTAACCCCCCCCCACGGGACAGACATATAAACTACATGTATTTTAAATGCTTTGCTGGTATTGAGCGATATAAAACAAATAACAACCCCCCCCCAAAAAAATCAACGTCTCAAAACAGCATCAGACATATTTCTTTGTATAGTGTGATTTCAGAATCATTTATTCACGGGGACATCCATATATCGACATCAATATAATCTGTACAAATCTCATATAATTTCTCTTTGCCACAAAATTTTACCAAATTAAACTAGCCCAATTCCAAGGCACTCAAACTGAAACAAAAAAAATTACGAAATCGTCAGGTTTTGAAACTGAAGGAAAATCAACAATCAATAGATATGTTGCCCACAATATGCGAGTCGGAAAGAAAACATCAGTATAAAGCATATCCTGCTTTTACCGTAATGTTACGTGAAGTATAAAGGCATTTTCATTTGCACTTGAAAAACCATTCTTTTTACTTTAAGGGAGTTGGAAGGGGTAATTTGAAAACTGCAAGGTAATTGAAGTTCAAATCTCTGACACACATCTTCTTTTACTAATCATCGCAAGAAACAAACTCGTTTTTTGGAGTTTTGTACTCTTTTATGACATGAATCAACGACTACATAGTTACATTTTCAATTAATGTGGAAAATAACATTTATAATATCTCACATAATTTAAGTAGTTCTTTAACAATCTGTCATGTTTCAATAGTATTGACACATTAATGTTATTTTCTATTTTGCAATCCACCGAAGCTAACAAAAAGAGCCAGTAAACATATTCTGCTGAATATTTAGTACCCTGACACCGAAATAGGTTGAACTTTTCTTTAAAATTTAATACTTAATGTATAAACACTTGAAAAAACTTCAAGGTGTAACACATACGCCGAAGCCCTATGAGGAGCTATGAGTCACAACATACAGTTGCAAAAATGACAAGGCCACAAAAGCTGGGTAAAAAAAAACAGAGGTTAGTTCTCTTTTTTGCCTAAATCTTGGCAAATCTGGCAAATCAATTCTTTTAAGTCTGAATTTAACAAAAAAATACCAAGAGTTGTGCACGATTTGCAACCCATTATGTTTTGTGTCTACAGTTTCGAGCAGCACCTTTCCACTATAAGGTGGGCCTGGAGGTTTCTCACAATTTCATAACATCTTTACAAAAAAATTCTTTGGTACGAAATAAACACTGTAAACAGAATACAATCTGTTGTATTTTCATCTGCAGTTTGCCTACTTTATTTTAACATCAAAATGTCCAAAAGGATGCCCAGTTTGGACCATCCAGACCGTCATTTGGAACGTGGCCTTGGGGCCTGGCCTTGAGGGCATGATTGCACCAGTGGCTCTCGAAAGCTGATTTTATTTATCAGCAGAGAAAGAATCGTTCACAAGATAACAATCATCTCAGATGTCATTGACCATGAACGCCGCGAGAGTTGCAGGCATAGGCAAAATGTGAGCGACAATGAGATCTTTAAAAAAAAGTTTGACTGGGGTTGTTTGAGCGTGACAGTATTGCACGTGTGGCTTGTTAACAAAGTTATTGAACTATAGCTAGCCCCTGGGCTTGCTCTCGTACTGTTACACACTGGGTTTTCCACAAGGTACTTCAAAGTATCAAACAGAGGGCGCTACTGTAAGGAACTGATGTTGATAACATCTCTTTTTAGTTTTGAAACACAGAGGGCCCTATTTCCCCCATTCAAAGTTTAACTTTTGAAACTGAATGCCAACAGAGGGCGCTGGTCGTAAAGACCACTTTTTGCACCATGCTTTTGTACCGTGATCACATCAAGCAGGCGCCCGTTTATGTGGCCCTTTAACCTCACATTCAGGACTTTGCATGACTGTCACTACTTTCACAAGCTATTAAAAAAACAAGTTTTCCCGACATGCGGCAGCAGATGACATTATTAAAAGTACTGACTTAACTGAGACATTAGATGGAAACGACCATCTCCTTTTGCCCAGTGACTTTCTATAATTCTGTGTAGATGCCTCCTCCATTCAAATGAGATGAACAGTAATTTATCACATCAGAATATGGTAATCATAGGTAAAGCCCAAGACAGATTGAAGCAATTATTCAAATTTCACATTTTTCAATTCCGGCACTGTTAATGAGAAATCTACACTCTCAGAAGTTTAAGATCAACAAATTGTACTTTGGAGATAAGGTATAGAAAAAAAATCATACTTTCCTCATTTCAAACTCATTAAAAGTGTTCTTTTTTTCTTAATACTTTATTCAGACTTTGTACAATACTTTCTGTCTAAATGACAACTTATTTCTGGAGAAATACATTTTTGACTGAGCGTTTGGTACAAACTGTACCTCGGTTTATTTGCCTTTTTTTTTTTCTCTCTCAAAACTTTTTAAGATAAATACTGCTTTGCAACAAGACACAGTTCTCAGGGCCTCTGACATGAATTGCATTGTAAATCACCATGACATTAACACAAAAATTTCTTATTCTTACATTTTAAGATCTAAGAAAAAAAGTTCTATAAATGATTGCATAATTACCCATGACAGAAATCGTAATGCAAGAGAGAGCACAACTGTACACTCTATAGACCGTAAGCACCAACAGAAGAGGGCCTTGTGTTCTTCACTGGTCCACACATGCTGGTCATCGAAAATCTTCATTCAGAAATTTCTGAGCAGACATACCAGGGGGAAAGCGAAGAGCTGCCTGCTGATGAGGTTCAAGTAGGCTGGTACCCCGACCCACAATCTTACACATGTATTCTAGACTTGGAAAGGAGGGATGGTTACCAGTCAGGAAATTAAGAGCTCTCTTATCCATCACTGGTTCCCACGCAGCAATATCAAATGCTCAAAACTGCTGCATACCAGGCAAACTGATGCATTTTGACTGCCATCTTTGGTATTTTACAATAAAAGGCATACTCATGGACAAAGTCTCCATAGCAAACTGACTTCTGAAAATAAAGTCTTAAAGTCAGTGAATTCCACTTTATATCGGCCCCAAAGGTCTGAAACCTTTTTCTGGGGAAAATGCTCTATACCTGTTCGTAGACGGAATGTTCTCAAAAATTCAGAACTTCCAGTTGCAAAAGAAAGACTTTGGCACGACCAACTCTGCTGCAGCATCCTGGAATGTAAAACGAGAAATTGAAAAAAAAAATCAGTAGTTTTATCCTTATTTCAGTAGTTTTATCTTTATTTATCTTGTTCACTGATGAGTTGAGCATTCATCCCTTGATTGTAAAAGTACAGTAAATGGTGAAAAGGGGTTCATACGAACAATGTGTAAAAGTTATTAGTCGCTGCTGGTGCAAATCTACGAAAAAAATTATTATGTCACTAAATGGCACTCCATACCCTCTGAATACCAGTGTTGGTGTGTGGATGAAGTATGGACAGCCAACACTAACATTACAGCTTGTTGAAAAAGGAAAAAAATGCATCTGCTCTCTAGATCTTTGACAGAGTGTGGCTTCCTCAAAACTGGTCTTAAAAGGAAATATCCCTTTCTCAAATCCACCAACAAATCCTTCAGCCTAAACCATCAATATTTCCAACAGAGCTTGGTGTCTCAAATCAGAACACATAGAGTATGCAGTCAGTTTATCCCCTCCTGTGGGCCAAATCAGACAGATTTCTTGCCCAAATGACAAGGGCTTTTTCCCCCTGTATTGTGATCACGTCCATCCTTCAAGGACTCACCAAAAACGTTAAGTTCCCGTCTGGCGACTGGCAGTGTTGCCGGGCGTACCACTCTTGGCTGTACAGACACATGAGGATCCCGTTGCCAATGAAGAGCGAGAGCCAGACGAGGATGTTCTGGACGTTGGACGACCCGTTGCTAGGGATGAAGATGAACATGACTGCAGGGTGGAGAGGGACAGGAGATAGAGATTCCCTAGTTACCGCCCACACTGTTATGTGCCAGTTGGTAGCCGGGACAGCTCGCGTGGACCAGGGAAATGGTGCCTGCTCCAAATACACTGAAAAATTGACTGAGGTGGGAATCGAACTGTCAACCTCTGGAAAAGCACACTGGTGCTCTACCAATGGAGTCATCCAGCAGTTAACTGGTGAGAAACGAACCGTGGACCTCTGTAGAAAAAATATGCAGGCAATCTAGCAAACTGAACCTTGCATCTCCCATGTTGGGAGTCTCCTGATCTGTCAGGTCACATAAGAATGACCTGGCTACGGCTAGCAATTATACACACATCTGTGGGAAAGTTGCTTGCGGCTTCCACAGACACACATGCTATTTGTAGCCGCAGCCACGTAATCTGAACATTAGCCAGGAGCCATAAATATCGCATGGCTAGGCATTCCTCTCAATCACAACCCTAACGACACGAGCATCACCACGCTTGAAAAACGACAGCCAGAATCACTCACAGGCATCATCAATTTCTTTTTCCACTTCCAATAAGAAAAATCGACCCTAAAAGATGGTTCCCTTGGATGCTTCCTCAGAATGCGTTGGGGAAAAAAAAATGAGAAGGGGGACAAATATCACACTCACATCCAACTCCCCCAAAGAGGACCATCAAGACGGGGAAGAAGAAGCCGAACGCTAGGGATAGCACGTACTCGTGGACGAGAGCCGAGATGACAAAGACTGCCATCATGGAGATGCTCTTCCTCATCTGCAGGAGCTGACGAGAGGAAGCAGAGAGGACAGAGGTAAACATCGATGGAAGGAAATCAAGAGAAACAGGGATAGCAGTAACTTTGAGTCCCCCCCACTCATTTTTTTCAGGTTTTTCAGTTTGCAAGACGCACTCCCCTACAACGTGACAAAGACTGAGCAGGGTCCGATTAAAAAACTATTCCGCAGACCCCTTGGTATCAGTGTTCCGTGGGCTCCACTCCAACCCGGGTTTGAGCACCAATTTCATAATGCCGATTGGTGCTGCATTTTGGGTTCACCCTTAGCCAGAGTAAACTATGATTTAATATCAAGCCTTCCCGAGACAGAAAATTTGGAGAGAGATGCTGAAACCTCTCTTGTGTGGGTGTGAACATTGGTGGTTGTGTTTTACAAATCACCTGCGATAATTTCGTAAGACCCCACACTTTTTCCCAGGCCCTCGAACTGTTTACAGGCCTTCGGCACAGTGCCTATAGTTCCTATTGGATAACCCAGCCTTTCGGCTACCACAGAACTGTGGTAAACAATATTGGCTCCACCCTACCTGGAAGTCTCGGTAGATGTACGTATACAGCCAGTCGTGCACGACAATGTTCCAGGTGCGGTAGTAGTTGGCGTATGACTTACAGTTCCACCAATCCTGGATAACGAGCAAAACCGTCAAGGGCATCATGGGGAGGGTACCAGCATGGGAAGGGTACCAGCATGGGAAGGGTACCAGCATGGGAAGGGTACCAGCATGACAAGGTGACTAGAAACAGAACACTAACAAGTAATTTTCCATTTCTTTTCTAGTACTGCAGTACTTGAGTAGTTTTTTTTACCCTTACTCATACTGGTACTCAAATGAAAAAAAACCACCTATATTCGTAATTTGTATTTACATGAACAAACATGTATTCATACTCGTGGTGAAGAACCACTCATACTCAACATGGAGTATTTGTATCATGATGAAGAATTTGCACTTGTGGTGGAGTACTCCCACTCGAATTCATACTCACATAAACAAACAAAAAGGACATTATGATAGCAGCCAAGTTCAACACCTGCGCGGGTACCTCAATTAACAGACTTGTTTATACATGTTATGAAGAACTCACTCTGTACTCATGGTGAAGTATTCATACTCACATAAACAAATAAAAAAGACATTATGATAGCAGCCAAGTTCAACACCTGCGCGCGTACCTCAATTAACAGACTTGTTTATACATGTCATGAAGAACTCACTCTCGTACTCGTGGTGAAGTTCTTATGCTTGTAACTGAACTCATCACTCATGCAAATATATTTGACTACAAAACTGTCGCTTTTTTTTTTTAAAGCTCACTTTGTAGAACTGTCGGTCCGCGAAGCGCATCATCTCAGCGAAGGCGTTCATCCAGGAATGCAAGATGGCGAAGAACGCCAGGATGAGGACTAGCGTGCCTGGCAGCACGCAGCTGAAGACGCAGAGGATCAACCGCTGGACGGTCAGCGTCTCCTGGCTGAAGTTGCGGAAGACGGGCACGCAGAACCGCTCAAAGGTGTAGTAGGTGTAGAAGAGGCATGCCAGCACCTGGGGGGGAGGGGGTAATGTACACGGGGATAGGGAAGGTGAATGAAGCCATTTCATGACCTGACGTATCCATCTCCAGCGGGACCACGAGAGGGCGCAATTTTCACAGAAACGGAGGCTCCTTGGGTGGGAGCTGCATTTCGCTGGTTCACGCATTTAAGGAAGCATGGCTGCCAACAAAATGAACACTCCCCTCTAACATGGCTCTTTTTAACCAACGAAGGGGTGCTGCTACTCAAGGCGGAGAGACCAACAGCAAGTTCTTCAATTTTAGGCATGTGTCCGTTTGCGAGGGCGGATCCAGGGGGAGCATGGCCTGCCAAAAAGGAAGCCCCCTCAATGCGATTTTTAGAATAATGAAAGGGGGGACTTTTCGGTTCATTTCCTTTCCTAAAAAAAGCATGTAACAAGACCCCAACATAGCGTCAACCCTTGGAAAAGCCATAAAAGGTTACATTAAAAAAATTTCCACATATTTGGGCCCCCTGTATCAGCATGATGCCCTCAAACCCCCCCCCAAGTTCAGTTCTGGATTTGCCCTTGTCTGTTTGGAAAGAGACAACATCCTACTTCTCAAAGATGTAGTCAAAAAAATTTCTGATGGGAATTAGACATGCTAGCCTGGTGCTCCAGCTTGCTGAATATTGTCTGCACGTGCACTGGGATTTCTGTGTACATCAAGATTTCTGGACATCAAGGGTAGGCGTTATAACCCGTGTTTATTGTTACCGAAGAGGTCACAGGCAGAACGAGATGTCGTGCAGTCACAAGAATTGTTCACTCACCAAAACACAAGAACACTTCGCAATCTTTGTTTCTTGTGAATTTATCACTGATTCAAAACCATCTGAGCCATGTTTGTTAACTCTTCAAATTTCTGTATCAGTGCTATATGGCTGATTTGCAAGACTAGTCGCAAGTCCATTCACAAGTAACAGGATGAACGATGACAAAGGAATGCTTTTTAAAGTTCATTAAGTAGGTAATGATTTGACCCGAGACCAAACGACACTTGAGGGGACTTGTGATGGACTTGGCTACAACTTGGCTCCGTCCACCTCCTGGGGCTAGCTGCTCACCTGTAGGAAGTTTGTATTGACCACGTGCCACCGGATCCTGGGGGTGCGCGGGTAGCGGTCCCGGTAGATCAGCGTGGGAGCAAAGAGGAAGTACAGGAAGTGAGAGAAGTCAGGGCAGGGCCCGGGACTGCCGTCGTGGCCACCGCCGCTGTCGCTGTTGGTACCCGGCTGGGCCTGGCAGGCCAAGCTCACGCCGTTGCCCCGTCTGAGGAAGCGGGGACAGCCTTCGCTGTTGCTGCGCATGTGGCCGTTGGTGCGGAGTTGGCCGTTGGTCGAGTGGAGCTGGGGGTTAGTGAGTCCATTCCTGTGCAGGAGACTGGCAACTGCAAGGCAATCCAAATGTACTGGTGCTGATTTCAACATCGTCAAATTACATCTCAAGCCCATAAACTCCACCCAAGATAGATTACATGCTAAGCATTAAATTCATCTTAACCCCTCTCCCCCCAACCCTACCAAAAATCCATATCTTAAAGTTAGAATCCTCTAAAAAAAATGCAACCAAATATTGGTCATATTGAAAAAAAGATGTCAACTAGAGTATTAATATCAACCAAACCTAAATCAGCTAGACCACGAAGCACCTTAATCCACAAAGCAGCTTAATCAACTTCATCAATAACTAAGCGGCAAATCAACTACACCCAAAAGTGACCCTGCAAGAGACTTGTCCAAAATTCAAATAGACAACACATTTCATCAGGCAAAATCAACAAAGAGTCACTTAAAAACAAAATCAACTTAACCAAATAACTCAAACTACCCAAATTACTGAACTGAGAAATCGATACCAGAAAATCAATTTCACTCACCACCAACTACCTTCACAGGCTGATTTCATAGAGCTCAGAGCTCCTTAACACACAATTCTGCTAAGCATACCAAATATTTGCTATGCAGAATCAGGTTACCAGCAAAATGGCATGCAAACGACATTACTCATGACTGGTTCCCAACTAGTTTTAGCTAACCACATAATTTTGCTAGGCAGTATGCAACAGCTCCATGAAATTCTGTGATCCAGATCTCAACCTCAACTCCAAACAACCTACATATATTACCTGGATGGGGCTTCCACCGCAGGGCCCTGGGCACGTTCTCGCGGATGAAGGAGTGGGTCTTCATGATGAGGCGGAGTTGCTCTGCGATGACGATGATGGTGGAGGCAGGTGGAAGCTGGTGGGCAAGGACCGCCCACAGCGGAAAGACTACCATGAAGAGCTGGGAGGCGAAGTAGACACAAAGCCAAACCTGAGGAGGGCAGGTCAAAGGTTGAAGGTTAAAGTAACACCATTTTCCCCTGTACTTCAGAAAGTTTCTAGTTCATCGTCACTGAGGAAAAGGATTATACAGTACTTTTGCATATTTATGGGGTGCACATTGTCCTAACTACAGTTTGCTACCCCCGCTCATCAAGATTATAAACTAATCTGAGTAGACACATTTTTCAGCTTGACGTGCACGTGCATGTGGCAAATCACAACACCCTAGTGGTCGACGATGCATGTGACGTGCACGTAACAACCGTCTAAACGAGTTGTACCACCACAGTGATGACTTCTAATTCTAATTGTCAAAGTACACTACGAAATTATTCCATGGGCTTTGAGCTCGACAGGTATAAATGCTTTCTATTCCAAACAAAAGGCTTCGTCGACCGCTCGGCCCTGGAAAATAGCAGGTTGTGCATTCATGTCGAGCCCTATTGAAAGTGTATTCTCGCGAGCTCTTGGTGAACACCTAGCCTCTAGTAATGAAACCATTACGTCGGGCCTACCCCATCGGGAATACGGTTTGGTTTATGGCGATTGGTGGCCCAGTACTGGAACATGACAAAGGTGACCACCATGGTCCACATCATCATGACACACCAGGTGGACAAGACGACCGGAAACTGTCCGAACTGCCAGAGTAGCATGTCAAGGTTCAGCTTGATGCTGTACACACGGAGAAAAAAAAAGGCATCAGACTCGGTGAGAAAGTTGGATCCTAGAGCATTTTCAAAACGAAATGGATTTGGCTTAGACTTCAGTTTCACTGGTTTCAGTCAGAGCTTGAACATGTGGTTTCGAACACTGCTTCAAAATGGCTGGAACCAGCGAAACCCAAGTCTAAGCCGAATCCACTCTTTTCAAAAACGCTCCTAGACTGTAATTAGAAACAGTTCAACTACTCTGTCCCGATTTTCATGGCAATGGCTGGCCAGGACACACGCATCTAGGGGAAATGACTGGTCAGCTGCAAGCTAGCGACTTCCATAGGCAGACGTACCATCACCGGCCGGAACCGAGTGATTCAGACAGTGGCTCGACTCTAATCAAACACGTGCACGTTAGGCCTCAGAGCGCCCTCTTGAGTTTGTACCGAGCACTATCACATGTAAAGGAATCAGCTCATTCAGCCACCCCAGAATCGCCGTATATGCGTAGATATGGTCAATTTTATAGGATACATCTAAGCTACACTCAGTTGGTCCTTACCTGCCATTTTCAATGTACTCGTAGACAGCCGTGTTTAGAACAAAGACGATCAGCATGGCCACGAAGATATTGTAAATCGTCCGGATGTTCTTGTTCACCAACAATTGTCTGTGAGCAGAAAAAAAAACCAAACAATGGGTTTAATTGTCAGACGACGATTTCAGGCAAAGATGATTTCAGTCAACAGAATAAAAACACTATGCACAGGTGTCCCACTCTGCGTCTTGGAGCACGGCAGGCTGGGTCGTCATACCCAGCACTGCTCACTCTGTGAATATCTAACAAAAGAAAGTAAGGTGCAATGACAATGGAGGCTCATTGTTAGTGACCTGTGTTTCTTTTGTTAGATGTTCGTAGCGTCAATCAATCTGAGTTTTAGAATTCGGCATAAACTGTCAACTGCATGTATGCAAGGTTTGTACATATTAAAGCAAGTACACAGCCTGCGGCATGAGCCACAGTCATCATGTAAGTGTTGTCGCTGCGACCAGAAATCCTCAGGACAGGTTGAATTCATCTGTCCATCAAATTAGTTTGAATATGAAAATACCAAGAGATGTGTGGTGTTTTTTTTTCAATATGAGATTTCGTACGTCGAAATTAACTGTTCTGAGGAAACGCAGTTAAATTTGTTGGAAGTGTCAACTGAGCATGTTGTGGAGGTTGACAAAAACACAAGGATTTTACAATGCAATGCTTTGGAAATCTACGAAGACTGTTCTAACCCACATATGACGGGGCCATTCTAAATATAGCTGTTCAATTGATTCCACTATAGCAACGGTGTGCTGTGAGTATAAAGTCACATGTACGGATTTGTGTGTGGTAAGCAGGATACAAATTCCAACCACATCAACAAACAAGGCCAACAATTGCAAAAGTATTCAAATAAAGCCAAGTATTTTGTGAACAGTTTTTCGACAGATCGTAAACCCAGTCGATTAAATCTCCGGGCACAGAAACCAAGGTCCATTCTTTTCAAGCCCACCGGGTTCGTAGGTTCAGCATGGAGTGCCCTCTGATTAAGCCCGCATGTTTACATTTTCCCCACTCGATAACATTCACGATTTTTTATTGCTACACTGCAGAAAGCACAGCGACGTCTGAGTCATTCAATTCATGGGGGGGAGGAAAAATGAAGCGCGGACAAAAGGCCATAAAGGAATAGCTCAAAGTGTCACGAAATTGTGAAATGTAAAATGAGTGGGTGTTTAGTCCATGAGGTGAAATATCTGATACTAAACAAAACATGTCTGCCGTACATCGCACCCAATCTGATAAGAATATTTTTCCCTCAAATTGAAGGATTTCAGTATTTTTCTTTACTTTTATGGCATATCTGAGTCATTTTTCTCCAATTGCAGGTTACAGAATTTTCAAACAATCCTTCCTTTGTCAGTTTGTACATTTAATACCAAAAATGGGTAACAAGTTTTATGCATTTACAATCTTGAATTTTTTAGGACATAAGAGTTTGAAATCCATCCATTTCTTTTTTAATTCCAACAGTTTTTTTATCGAATGTACAAAGTGTCATTACCTTAGCACGCCTCATGGGTTAAAAATCATTAAAACGTAACAACTCCAATCCAATGCGTCCATGGCTACAACGTGGTACTTACGTGAGGAGTGATTCCCGAGCGACGAATACTTTTTCTTTTAGCTGTTTCCTGTCACACAAGTGATGAGAAAATTGATTCTTAGGATGGAAAACCTACAGTCGCTGCAATCCACAGATATACTGGAACAGTAACATGCCAGAAATGTACACGAAATTATGCTGTTCACATGAACACAGGAAGAAGATACTAACCACTTGCTGCCAGGTGGAATTTGAGGTTGCATATTGTAAAACCGGGAGATTTTCAAGATTTTCCATGTTCAAAGTTCTTCAACAAATCATAGCTTCATTTACAGGATGTTTATACCCGCACGAATGACTGTCTGGTGGCTACTCTAATCTGTCAGACAACATCTATTGACGCCCGAGAATTTCAGCCAGGCCTGCCGCCTTGTAAAAAGAACCCAGATTGTGCGGTGTTATGTAACTTCCTTTTGTTCCCGAAACTGGCACAGTGTGCTACTGGTGTCTTTTCAATGGGAGCCAGATTAGTGTGCAGCGTATGTATCCCTCATCGCTGTAGCGCTGGAGTGCTTTTGTCCCCAGTGGTAATCTGCTCAGGGCTGAATGCCACAAACAGCGGTATAATCTCTCCAAACAATGACGGACTTCCTCCAGTATTGACAACTGAAAACAATGTTGGCAATTCCCAGCAGCTCGGTCTTTTGTTCTGAGTACGGTCTTTTGTTACAAGGCCCGGCTCTTTTATCTGGTTTCGGGCTCCTCGGTTTCCTGTATAAAGCCTATGTGCCCAAACCGGGCTCCCTGGCAGCATACAAGACAAAGTACATACTGCACAGAATGGTATGCATCACAAAAATAAAACTTCAAGTATGAGATTTTTAAAAGATATATCCTCTTTTGAAATGCCCTGCACTCAAATGCTCATGCTCACGAGTTGCTGGCGGTTATGTTCCTTGTCCCTTTTTTCCTAATTGCATTTCGTAAGGAATTCAAAAAATTGACAGTTTAGTTTTTGTGGGCTTTTTGTTGGTGATAAACTAAATCGAGTTCTGGAAAGAGAGCTGGTTTATGGGTCTGCAGAGGGGAACAATCCGCACACTACATCGCTAACTATCTTATGCTGGAAGATTTTTTATGAGGCAAGGCAGAAGGAACTTGTTTTGGCATCATTCTATAACTTCAGGGTCCAAAAGTGGGGCATTTTTGTGTCCCTGTAACACCTGACTTGTGTAATTTGACAGGGAAATATCACTGAATTGATTTCAAACTATTTCTATTTGTCTGACAGGTGATAATTTGCATTAACTCATCACTCTTGGAAATCAGAGGATTTGATCTGAACTCACAAAAATCATATGTCAGATGTGACAGGGAGGAGGGAAAAATTGGGCCCCTAATTTATAGAATGACCCTTCACCTAAAGTTACAATGATTTACTGAAATGCAAGACTTCGAAGCAGCTTCATTTTTGTGTGAAAAGGCTGTTGTCACAGAACTATCGTTAGCATTTATCACTTCTGTGTAAAATTTATCAAGCAACTTTTTATCGAGCGGTGTTAGAATCGGAAAGCAGGACTTACTGGTCGCCCGGCTTGGGTCTGGGGGCGGCCTCCTTTTCCTCGGTCTCCTTCAGGTCAGTCTGCTTCTCCAGCTCCCCAACGAAGCTTTCCAGCAGGCCCTCCAGGTGGCCGTCCAGGTGGCCCAGAAACTCTGCCCGGACTTTCTACAAATTGGAAAGAACGGCAACGGTCAAGACCAAGTGGGGGACACACAGTCAATGTTTTTGAAAATAAATTCCATCCATTTTATTTTTTTTTAGGAAAGTACATAAACATAGAAGGGCTATCTCACCGCAGCGAGTTACTTTCCTGCTGTGGTGAGTTTGCAAGATAGACATGGAAAACTTGCGGTGGTATAACGTTAACTCACTATGGCGAGACATCAACTCAACGCAATGAGGTACTTCCCTGCTGTGGTGAGATAGATTTTCCTAAATATTTTCATTGGTATTTAACTCTCCTACACCAGGGTTAATTAGAGAGCAACTCAAAGGAAAACATGTTTTCTCTGATTTTATCTGTTTGAATAAATATGGAAGCATCTATATCGAACACAGTGTCATTTGTCTTCAGAACTCATCTATAACAAGCCAAAAAGGGCTTTTTATTCTGTTCATGCCAAGACACGAATTCTGAACATGCTGAATGTAGATTGCGTCATTCTGAGAAAACAGAGAAAACAAGGGGAACCCTCACCCTGTGTTTGTAGTGGGTAGACCCTTGTGCATGTCAAACAATGTATGTAGCCATTGTTTGTAGCCATTGTTTGGCATGCATAAAATGGGGATTATAGCAGAGTTGCTCTTCGCTGTTCTTTTTCCACCATGTGGCTTTAACATCAAAGATTCTGAATTCAATATTGACAAAGTGGCTATCTGCAGTCGAGGTTTACTGGTATCTTGGTAATTCCATGAAGCGGGATACACAACGTGCCGCATTTTGTGGGTAATTTTGTGTGTCCCTGTCACATCTGACATACGATTTTGTAAGTTCAGAACACATTTTCCAATTTCCAAGAGTGATGAATTGATGCAAATTACCTGCCAGGCAAATACTAACGGTTTGAAACCAATTCTGGTGATATTTCCATGTCAAATAACAAAGGTCAGATGCAACAGGGACACCAAAATGTCACGCGTTTGGACCCCAAATTTCTGGAATTACCCATGAACATTTTAAATGCAGTGTTCCCAACCAGTTTCAGGGAAGTTGGATTTGAAATCTTTGCGAATGACATATCAAGAAACTTAATAAACCTAACTGTCACTGTATTTTGAAATGCAGCGTATTGTAACATTTTCATGGAATCCCACTGACTTCATGGAAGGGCCCACCTTTGCGTCCTGGATATTTTTCCCCCTGATTTTTCATATCCTTTAGCTAGCTCTTTACAAAGTACCCAGCTATATTTGATCTGGTATGTGTATTTTTGCAGGTATTTTGTTTTGTGAACGAATACCAACATTGCATTGAGGGCATTCCGTCGCAGTCAGAGGAATTCCACAAAATCTTTGTCACACTCACATGACACTGTTTTGTGTGTTTAAAACCCCCCCAAAAAAGCTGGTACAAGACAGCTTCAGAATTTCTACAGAGCAAACAATCCATAGAGTAAAAGTCTATTATCCATGGGACAAAAGGATTCCCAGGATTGTTTCACGTGGCAAATGATGCTAGGACAAAGTTCCATATAAGGCGAATGATCTTTCACCAAATCCTTTTTAACATGAGATCAACAATTAGAATTCAGGATGACTGAGCATTTTTTTTAATTATAACACTGGCCTTGTCAAAATACATGTACTTCTAGCAAAATTCTTGCACTCAGAGCCTTGTGGTCAAGTACACCTTGGGTTAAAAATTGAGACTAGCAGCAACGTAACATATCAACAAAACTTCAAAACTGTAAATGAAAATCCCTTGATTTTTCCCTTGTAGGTAAACGGAGTTATCTCGTGATAAACAGATTAGGCTTGGGATAACAACAGTTATCTCTCAACGGCCAGCTCACCCTCATTTTTTAAAGTCATATTAGAACACTGATGACAGGTACCAGTGGGGTTTCTATCGTTTTTGTTTTGTTTTGTCCTTGAGCAAGCCGCTTTACCTGCATCTATTTCTCTCCACCCAGAGGAGTAAATGGGTACGACTGAAAGGGTGCAAAAAAGGTAAAACTTGGACTGACATCCCATGCAGGGTGGAGTAGAAACAGTGGGAGTTGCTTCATGGCAAGGAACCCGGAAGGAAAGGCTAAATAATTAAGAAAAAAAAACAAAACTGGCACGGCACCGACTGCTGTGCAATTGTGGAACTCACCTGAGCCGCATGCCGCACACGCAGGACGTTCATCTCCTTGTCCAGTGATGCCCCAAAGTGGTCATCCACCAAGGGGGCCTCTCGCCCGACCTTCATCTCAAGGTCAACGCCCCTGAGGCCAAGTCTTGCCTTGAATCAGCAGATCTGGAAGGAAGTGAGGAAAAAAATAGCACCACAAACTTGCTTTGGGACAGATCATCACCAAACACATTTAGGTGTGGATAGCGATCCTGGGCAAACGGCATTCCTATCAATCAATGGCAGTTGCTGTACTGGCTGATATCTATGTACCTCAAGAACGCTAACATTTACCACGGGCCAAGTGGTCTAGGTCCTCTTAAAGCAGAAGTGGCCATGTGCAATGCACAACACAGCCTATTTCGACACAGGTGGGGCTTTCAGTTACCAAACCCTAGTATGGGGGTCATGTGGCGAGTCAAATTTGACTGGTTTTCGGGCCCTCAAACTGCGCATAACATACCGGGGTCAAAGATCAACATAGACAGGCAAACAGTCTCACAGCACAGGCGTTCAGTTGAACATACATGTACATGTACTTCATGAGGAAGGGAAGGTCTGCAGCTGTCTTTTATTATTAATTGACTTTAATTGGCCTGGTCTACACACTTTGTGTACTTGTGTATTTAAAAACCAACCAACTGAATGGGCAACAGGGCTTTATCACTACGGAACACTTTACCAAACAAAACCAAGCACCACTCACCAAACTGATCCGATAAGAGAACTGGATTAATGGAAACATTTTTCATAACTGTTGCAACGTATCTGTGTTTGCCCATCAACTCACAAGGATTTTAAACCAAACCTTATCAAGCACACCAAAAATCTGCCGGACCACATAATCAACAGAGTAATCCATTTAATCAGAAGATTTGCCATACTCTAATTTCTGTGGGATTTTTGCGAGCAATCTCTTGGACCCTAACAAAGAAAATCCTCTGTGGTCTGTGATGCAAATCAGTGGTAGGTTCTTTTCAGTTGACCTGCAGGTGCCATGTTAAAATAACAACAAATGGCCTCCACTTTCCAGAATCCTGCAAGAATCTTCAAAAACCTCAGTGGTCGACCCCTAACCTCAAAAACTGATATTTCAGAATTTAAAAGCAGGCTGGGTAACAACTGGAGCGAAAAAGGCCAGCAAGTGAACAGGGACTTCCCCTTTCAAAAGTTGAAATGAAGACAGGTTTCCATTCCAAAGCTTCCAACCTTCTATACTAATACCAGACAGTTTGCATATTCTCATCGTTTAAAAATCATACAGGAAATGTACACATGTAAATGTTACTATCTTTCAGTACTGTGACCACGATGTTATGTGCGTCCATATAAAGTCTAGTTATTAGGATATTGAAATGATGAAGCTTTTTTTTTTTGAGTGGTACATAAGCACTGACCTTAGGGGGCCTTTTTTTGTGGTCAGACTTCCTGGACAGAGAATAAAGAAGGTCCTACCAGAGGTCATCAGTGTGAAAAGAAAGCTACCCATGCAGTGAAAGCACTCGAGCCTGACTTCAGGGTGACCTCTGGACACACACACCCCCATGGCTATGGCCATGGCTTTGGTCACTGTGAGTTCAGATTGGGGTCAATTACCATGGATTCAATTGTGCTGGTACGTATTGTACATGTGTGTGTGTGTGATTTTGGATAAAAATGCCTACCTTGTGCCCACGGTCATGCCATGTGTTGTATATGGGTAACTCCAGAAATTCGGGGTCCAAAAGTGTGACATTTTTGTGTCCCTGTTACATCTGACCTTTGTTTTTTGACATGGAAATATCCCCAGAATTGATTTCAAACTATTACTGTTTGTTTGGCAGGTAATTTGCATTAATTCATCACTCTTGGACATTAGAAAATGTGATCTGAACTTACAAAATGATACGTCAGATGTGACAGGGGCACCAAAAAATGTACCCCAAATTTCTAGAATTATACCCATATACATGATATAGAGTTTTGCCATCACAAAACTTACATACATGTATGCATGTAATATGTACAATGCACCAAGTTAAGAAATACAGCCAATATACCAAAATCAGGTAGTGCTTACACATGTTTTCAAAGAAATCTATAGGCCCTACAGCTGTCTGCAGACTTGCTATTTCAAAGGAATCATCAATCAAGATGCAAGCTTTCAAGCAACTGTGACCTTGCCTGTCCCAATTCTTTTCCTTTCAAAATCACTCCACTGGAAAAAAATCACTTTTTTGCACACCACCAAGTATGGAGACTCCATTCCAGGGCCATCATGGGAATTTCTACTGATTTCCAGACAGGAGTGCAACTGGACCCCCCACTGGGGAAAAGTTTGTTGACCCAACAGGGGCCAACAAACTTTTGATTTCCTGTGGCATTGGCAGCAGGGGTTTGAGCTAGACCAGAAAGCCACCAAGAAAAAGGGAACAGCACTCAGGAAATTGGGTGTCAGTTTTGTTTAGCCGCGCACCAATTTACTCATTGCTTCCTGTTGCTCACAGGGGAATTTTAACACAATGCAGGAAGAATTCAAACGGTCGAATCTAGGGCCGGGTTTGTTTTTTTTTAAAAATGCATGAAAAGAGAGCAGGATCGGCAGGGGGTGGAGTTTGTTTGAGTCACTTGGCAAGCGCTGCCTGGGGACAGTAACTCTACTTTTTGAGCCAAGCGGGGCGATGTAAAAAAATAAGGCAACTTAAATGCAGGTCTGTTCAAGAATGCAACTGAGTAACCTTAAAACAAGTGGTACATGTAGTTTCCAACAAAATTTGTGCAATATTTTTGAAAAAAGAAACTACAAATATTTGCATGGGTTTTGCAGACCTACATTTGTAAGGGCATGACAGGAATGTACGAGGCCTAACTTCTGTAAAACATCAATCAATGATAACAATTACATTTACAATCATATAGGCTCTAAAATGATTGAAATCTAACCCCTCCCCCAAGTGAACGGGTTCAACTGAAGTACCCTGGCCAAGTTTGACTCTAGCTACATAGCTGTTCACATACTTAATTCAACAGGTAAAATTAAAGTGCATTGAACAATGACAGAAGAATGTTTTTTTAAAACAAAAGGGAAACGCGAAATTGAATCCAGTCTTCACCTACCACTTCCCCAACCTTGTTTGTGCAACCTAACAATGTTAGTCGCCAGTCGGTCAATGCCAGCTAGCAAAAACAAAGTCATGGATGAGAAACATGTTGAAGACGACTCACAGTCCAAAACGTGAACATGACGATGAGCAGCGTAAGACATCATTAGATTCTGTCTTATGACAACAGGGCAATCAGGTGTGACAAGTAGCTTAAAATTTTAACCCGGTCCGATGGCTCACCACAACGGAAGCACCAGGGCTCATGACAAAGGGAGACTTGTGTCTCTTGACATAGACTCGTCAAGCCAGAGCTGCAACCCTCCCAAAGTTACAGGAGTTTTTCCAAGTTTATTCCTTTGTACATGTACGCACGACTTGCATGAGAAAAAATTCATCCACAGTTGAAAAATGCACATCTGCTTTATGATTTGGGATTTGAAACATTTTTGTGGTAGCCTTTTTGTGAAAATAATGACATTTTTTGTAACTAATGAATCTTTTCGGTATTTGGCAAGGCATTTTGGAGCATGCGGGCAGTGGACGTAAATCTGAAACTTTCATTCTCATGGCCTACACTTGGGATTCAATTTAAAACATGAAAGAAATTAATGTTGCAACTTTGGGGGGTGGAAAAAACTTGCAGTCTGACCTGTGGTGGATGGAACAAGTAATTGCACCACCCACTCCAAAAAAGGAGAATTGAGCAATGTAAATAGGCATGGTATTAATGCAATCACTGCAATGCTGGCTGTTTAAAAAAAATTTTTTTTTTTTAAGTGATCGGATGACAGCAAAACATACACTTCATTTACTGCCTGCCAATGCCCAAAGCCTAGCCTGGGATGGATGTCTTCATTACATTACGACATGCCATCCAACCTGGGCTACAAAGCCATGACTTCGTCTCTGTTTGTTTGTAGTTTTATTTCCACAATCAGGAAAGCCCCATCGGTTAATAAATTGCTATCCTTGGAGGCACTACTGCAAAACCTAAAATATACGGGCCTCAAACAGAATAAAATTAATATAATAGGCCTATTTAGCCTACAGATGAAGTAACAAAATGGTCAACAAAAGGAAAATGTTTCAATATGTTCACTCAGCTTTTCCCACATGTCACCATGTTTTGGGGTTTCACCATGGTTTCACTCACCAATATCCGACTCAAAATTTCGTGACGTCTACTCACAACACGAGCGACGAGGACGTAACCAATGAGTCGGTGCTGTACGCCACTTGAGCCAAGTCCGTGTCACCATGAACCAAGGTTGTCCATTAAATGCGAACTTACGACTACTGAGCAATGATAGCTACTACACTTTTCTGACGTAAACGTTTGGATCGATGATGTCCTTCCTTAGTGTCTTTTCTCAGAAAAAAAACTATTGTAATTGTGAATGCGATGACTCACCTCCTCCGTTTTTTTATGCGTGTTTCGTGTGTGAATATAAGCGCACGTCGCGTATATCGTCACTACCCCCGGGTTATAATAGAGTCCTCCGTGGCCTATGATATGCGCGCCGCGCCACCGTCGCATCGCGCGGGCTGCAATCGTATCAGTGACTCGTGCCGAATTTTCAAGACCGCTAATTTGATATAGCGCCCTCTGTGGTGGAAACGCGACCAGACTTCTTGAAAGTGGACCAGACATGTAGATTCAGGTATTACTATTAAATTTCACTGCTACTAATTATTATTTATTTCAACAAAAGTTGAAGATATTCATAAAATATAAATAACTACTACTCTTATTTTTTTATGATAACTTTACGAGAATAAGCAACTGCATTTTGATTTAGGAAATTTTATATTCAAAAAATAGGACGTGCCCACTTAACAACGAAAAACAAAGATGGCGGAATGTTTTTACAGTATCGAGTATCGACTGCTACAACTTAAGTACAACAACACAACAGCACAAGTTTGAGGTTTAAAAAGCTCCGATATTTAATGTCAATTAACTGACAGAGTTAATTTGTGTATATCTCTAACTTCATTTGATGTTTTAGGTTTGTATAATTCATTTTTATATTGAATTAACGTTAATTTACTGGCCTAGGGCCTACCATGGAGAAAGGAAAATTCCTCCATGGGCCTACTTAACGTTAGTCTTACTCTTTTAGTTTACTAACGACGTCTTTGCACAAGTCTTTGGGCCTAGCCCAGGTTGGACGACGTCTGCACTGCATTGGGACTAATGTAGGCATCGTCCAACCTGGGCTACTTTGGGCCTAACGTTAGTCAGTTAGTGGTTTGACCTGGGGCGTGGGACTGATGTATATAATTTCAGTTGAAAACAGCAAGTACAAATAGGCCTAGGCCTATTATAAAACTAGGCTTAGGCCCTAACCATTTTTCTTCTAATAATTATATTGCCATGAAAAGACGTCACCTACATTTCAGGGCTTGTTTGACCCAGAAAAACCCAGGGTTGCCTCTGTGGGAGTAGTTGTGTGTGTGTACATCATTGTGAAATGGCATGCTCAATGTAAATAAGGTACATCATGTGAATGGATGTGCGCGGTGGCACAGTTTGGTTTTTTGTCCCTTTTGAACTCCATCATTTCTAGGGGTGTGCACCCTGAATGTTTAATGGTTAGGCGTACTCAATGTTGGAATAAGTTCACTTTGGTGAAATTTCGTACACTACAAGCCTGTTTGATAGCACAACATGATCATGTCCACAAGGCCCAGCATCATGTTTGCTGGCCTATTTAATCACGTCGGGGCCCAACTGTCGTTTTGAAAGCATGTTTAATATATTCTTTGTAGGCCTCACCATTCTATTTGCAAAATGTCGACAAAGCTGGGTCGACTGCCATATGATGAGCCACCTATGTACCTGCAGCGACCTTCATCTGGACGCTCACAGGATGTCACTCACGTGCTAGCACGGACGTTCCGAGACCTCTTCACTCGGGACTTTGTGGAGCAGGAGACAGTCAGAAATCTCAATAAGTCCCGAAGCGGAGATGACACCTACCATGAGAAATATGTGGAAGAACTAAGAAAGGTAGATATTCAAAATATATGATTGAGAAAATAACATTAAAGTTAGCATTATTTGGTATTTCCGGTAATGAAACCAAGGATTCCTCAAAAGCACCCTCGGCACTGTAGCTCACAAGCCTGAAGAAACCTGTTCTTATCTCATAAGCACAGGATTCTGATGGAAATTGTGAAGAGTAGCATCCAATTTCTCGGCCATGTTTGGTCCCATTTCTTAGATCCAAGCCGAGAGAGAGCGGCGAATGGCCGAGGCACTGATGCTGGAGAGGCACATCATGCAGGCTCGGGCACGCTCCATGGCCGCTGATGAACGAGAGCTCAACAAAGCAGCCGAGGGCTGCGATATCTACCACGACTTGGGACTGCCTCCAGGTACCGTACTAAAGCCCCCTCCCAGCCCAGATCACTGCTCAAGAACCCGACACAGATCGTTAACAATTTTTCTAATCTTTTTCTTGAAAAGTTTTGTTGCATTCCGATTGGAATATTGAGTAGCTATGTCTTTAAATTGGCACAAAACTAATGTCCTGTTCTCTTTTTTCAATCAATTTTGCCTAGTGGAACCCAACTTGGAAAACTATCTTGGACAGCGATTTGCTTCGCAAGCACGGCCTGATAGTACCAGAGGACTATTCCACAGCCGAACCCCCACCCACAGATGCACCAAAAGGTTAGTTAAATTGTCAGCTGTCGCATTATTTCCTACAAGAATGCTGTCAACGATTGTGAAATGCTATGGCAATCTATCAAAAATACTTATAGCCCGAGGAGGCCAGACAACCGTAGATCCCACAAAATCTGACGGCTGGTTTCTGTAGGCCCCCTGTGGATTTTCCTTACACCACACTGTAGGGTAACGACCCAAATTTGAACAAGTTGAATGTGCCCCTTGCTGGGCGTGGTGATCGATGGGTAATCACGGCTCTAATACCAGGGGAGTCGATGCTTCTCAACTAACCTGCCTCCTCTTTCCTGACCATCTTGAGCAGCCAGGAGAAAACCAAGATACGCCGAAGCCACCGATGCGTCCAACGTCCGAGTTCACCACACGGAGGATGAGTTCCACATCCATGAGGGAGGCGGCAAGGAGACGCCGGGAAGCCAAGCTGACCTGGTGAGAAGTCAGCTTGAACCTTGATCCTTTGTTGATGGTAACAAGTAAGAATATTCAAGTCCTGACCCTCATAATGTCTTCATCCTGAATGTAGTGAAGAGCTGTAAAAGTCAAAGTGTCTCAGCCTCACAGAGAGCACATAAAGATTTTCCATGGAAAAGTTTTTAAGTAGCTGTGCACATTGTTAGAATCTACATAATATTTGTGTTTCATTTCCTGTCCTACTGTCCCTCAGTTTTTATCCAAGGGTTCAGGCAAGCCCTGGCAGGGCATGGCCTCGCCCCAGACCAGGGAGCGTCACCGCACCGACCTGGCCATGGTGCACAGCAAGGCAGACTTCCTGCGCAACCCCCGCCACCGCCCGCCCTCCACCCTGGCTGGCGGCAAGACGCTGGTCAAGCCCAACACGGTGGTGCACAAGCTGGGCGGGGCCAAGTCCAAGGTCGCGGACACGGTGTAAGTCTTCCCAGTCGAGGCCTGAAAAAAATTGTCAACCGTCCTATCATTCATTGTTGAAATCAGTCCCACATATCCCCACCCCCCTCCAAACTTCCAACCCTATCTTATCCCTTTCCCAACCGACCCAATCCCATTTACCATCCCTCCCCACCTCCAACCCTAACACCTGCCCTCAAGCCCCACCACACCCAACGCCATCCTCTTATCTTATTTTCATCCAGTTGTGACCAATTTTTTATTTTTTTTTTTTCAAAATTCATCAAAAGTTACCTTTACAGTTTATTGAAATTTGTTGAAATATTTTTTCGAATTTTGTTGTTTTGGATTTAGCCAAAAGGAGCCGTCCGTCGTCTTCCTTGCCAACCCATCCACTGTGGTATTTACCGAATACCAAGTCGGACGTGTCTATGAACTTCCGCTCGAGTTGAAGAATGTCTCTGCGGCAAGTCGACCATTACGAGTCATCCCTCCAAAGACACAGTTCTTCTGTGTCGGGCTGGGTAAGCACTTTGACATATCGCAAGCAAAGTTTCAAAACCGTAAAGGATTTCTAGATCAGCGCTCTCTTTTGCATAGAGTTTCAGCTTTAGCCAATTAAGCTACGATCATTGCTCTGCCAGAACTAGAGAAAACAGAACACAAGTCAATAATAGGGTTGGACTCGAACCCAAGACCTTACGCTTACTAGTGTAGAGGTCTTAATCACTCCATCTCCAAGTTTACCTGTGCTGGCTGGCTGCTGTCAATCCAGCAGTAACAGGTGCCATAGTTAGTGTCATCAGCCTGCCCTCTGCTCAGTCCTCCCTGATCTAATCTGGTAGCAATCTCAACTCTCCTACCCTAACCACTCCAGGCAAGTTCCCCGGTGAGCAGGGTATCGTGGCCCCGGGCATGAGCTGTCAGTACAGTATCCGCTTCATGCCCGACTCCCTCATGGATTTTGACGACGAGGTCATCGTCCAAACCCAGTCCAGTCAGCCACTGGTGGTCCGGCTCCAGGGAAGACGACCGCCTCCCGTTTTATCCTGTAAGTTGTCAAGGCTATCAGCCACAACTCTCCAGACAATTACTTAGGAACCTTCCCGAATCTTCCAAAATCCTCTTCGTGGATTTTGAAAGATGTAAGACGGAGACAGATTAATACTGCAGTACGAAGAGATTTGTAAGCAGTTATGACAAGGGGTGCGTGGATAACAGACGGTCAGAAGAAGCAGATGGTCACTAGAAACAATATGTTTTCTTTTGATGCTTTTCTTGCCAGTGTCCAGCGACGTGGAGTGCGGCCACTGCCTGGTCGGGGGCAAGCGCACGGTCCAGTTTCTGGTCAAGAACGAGGGGGGCAGTGGTCGCTTTTGCCTTATGCCCCGCGAGAGCTGGCCGACCACAAACTTCAAGGTGAGTAAGAGCCAAGACTTACCAGTACAACCTTTCATTCGCCACATTGCATTCAGGCGCTCGGAGAGGGATCTGTCATGCTTCATTCTAACATCGTAAAGTTTTGAATACTGAAATGTTCTCATGGAGAAACAAATCAGCTGGGATCAGTCAGTGAGTAGTATGTATCACATGGCTCACTGAGTCTCAAAACTTCTTTGCGAATTCAGTACTTGTGTTTTGGCATCTTCATAAAGATCTAAAATAAACACATTCCGCACATTGTGATCAACATAGGGAACTTCTCCATTTCAGCATTGTTGATGTTGCTGTCTGAAAGATTCATTCCATTTTTAAAATTTTTTTTCGTCCTGTTCTGCAGTCTGCCACCAACATTGACAAAGTGGACTTGGCGCCATTCGTCATCCAGCCGGCCATCTTTGAACTTCTCGCCGGCCAGACCATCCCCATCCAGGTCAGTTAGAACTACAGACCAGTAGGCAGACCAGCCCAGGCGAGGGTTCTTTCAAACCGTAGTTTCATCCGGAAATGGGCTTTAGGAGACTTTAGGCCTCCCACTCGGAGAGTGAGGAGTGAAGTTTGAAACTTGTCCATATACTTGACCAGGAATCCCTCAACTCCTTAACTGAGGCCTGGATGTGGTAAGGGAATTCCCTGACAATTCTCCAGTCAGTAACAAAGCCAAAGTCCAAGACAATAAAGCTGACATGCAAAAAGTGGCCCAGATATCCTATGGCTATGAATTCAAAGTTTCTGCCTATAGTTCTCTTCTGTAGGCATCCACAGCCGTAGCCAACAATCACGCAGATTGGGCTCAGCTGCAGTGTCTCAATGACGCTTGAGGATGTGGGAAACCCATGTTTAACCCTTGGTGCTTTTGTGTCACAGGTGACGTTCACACCAACATCGGTGAAACACTTCGCTCGTGATCTGACGATGGTCTGTGATAACTGCACAGTGAAGCATTTCACTTTGAAAGGTACAGATCACTGGAAGTGATATACAAAGGGTATATTTGGATTTCTGCACTGCTATAGGTTTCAGAAACCTATGTCTTGTGTTAGCGTCCTGAGGAACCACAGGACATTTTGTAATGGATGCAGGATGCCTCTTAAGAAAACAAATGGACCTTTAGGATTTACCGCCGTGGACCTTTAAGTTCAGGGTCATTTTGGAGGATTTCGTAGGATTTTGCAGGATTGCGGAAGGTAGAGCCCAACTGCTACTCTACAGGGGGTGTGATGTCCTTTGATAGTTCAGGTACAAAGGGCAAACAATTGGTTTCTACACATTTGAGGATTTTGAAGGATTCTGAAACCTTCATAGCAAATCTGACATTGGAATCATTGTTGACCTCCAAAGTTTGCACCAAAACAGGATGTTCCATGGCTTGTCCCCACTGTTAATGCCCTTTATACGGCTTCCTTGTGTCAAAGGCGAGGGCCAGACAGCAGGGGTGGAGTTAGCTGCGGTGAGTGATGGTGGGGAGAGGCAACCCGCCCCAGGGGAGTTGTGTGATGTCACGGCCCAGCACCAGATCCGATTCGACCCCATCAACCCCATGACCTTCACCACCAAGCAGCTGACCATCAAAAACACTACGTAAGCGAAACTCTCCTCTCCTGTTTTGATCAAACCAGTGTCAAGCATTGAAACCCAAGCAGTGCTCAGCGCTGAATAAGCCGTGTCGGAATCAACTGGCTGTGGCTTGGTTTAGCGCACGCCTTTATGGGAAGCGGCAGCAGCCGCTAGCTGCATAGTGGCTTCCAAAACACACGTGCTATTTCTAGTACTTAGTTGTGCACCGTCATGTGACTTTTGCTGCTTCCATCAGGCCACCCAACCATGGCTTTCTTGATCCCTCAGGAACGTGGAACTGCCCTTCCATTGGGAGATGCTGAGGCCCCACTTTGAGTGCCCCGTTCAAGAGGAGGAGAGCGGAGAAGTCTTGGGGGGAGGCGCCATCCAGCGACTGAAGGACGAGACTAACACCTTCTGCATCAACCCGGACAAAGGGGTGCTGCCTCCCCAGGGGGTGTGCAAGGCTACGGTGGCATATGCCCCCACCGAAGTAAGTCATGTCCAAATATTGTGGCTGAGGCTGAAAACACGCGTGTGCCCGTAGAAGCCTGCAGCTAGTGGCTTCGTGCTTTTTCACATAGACACATGAAGTATTTCTAGCCCTAGCCAAACAATTTGTTAAAATACCAAGGGCCAGTTTCATGGTGTTTCTCAGACAGAAGAATCATGCTAAGCAGGGAAGAGACCTGCTTAGTGACATGAAGTAGCATGCAACTGCAGCATTCTATGCGTGGGCCTGTTGTTGGTATTTTCATAGACAATTCATGCAGGCTTTCCTGACGGGCACCACGCAGAACTACACCCACAAGTATACCATTCCCATCGACAAGTGCGGCTTTGAAAATTATTTTTCACTTCAATTTCAACTTTCCTGAAAGTGACTGTGGTCAGAGAGTGGTGGCTTGGTCCCCAAAAGAATGATCGTGCGTATCTTTCCCTGTGGCGGCCCCTTTTCCAGATTGGCCCCTCCCACAGCGTCCTCCACCTTGTCCTCAGGGAGGTGCCCAAGGACCGCCAGCTCTCAGCCACGTCCTCCAAGAGCGACAACGGTCGGGAGGAGGAGCTGACGCCCAACGGCCGCTCGGCACGGCGCAGTGGGGCGGTACAGGTCTCGGACATAGTCGGCTTGGAGGTTGAGCTGAAGGGAGATTGCGAGGAATTCCGAGTGACCATCGAACCCTACGCTATCTTTGTTCCTGGAAAACTGCTGATGTCCACCACCATCAGAAAACCATTTAAGGTATCTTCACCTTGGGACATTTTTCTGTGCCTTTGGGCAATGCAATAAGCATCGTCGTTTCGTCATCAAGAGTCGTTTCACAAGCTCGCAAGAAAAAATGTACTGGAATGAAATTTGAAACTGCCCCTTACTTACCAGTGCTTTTCAGTTCAGTTACTCTCAACCACATTTCCTGATTGCTTCAAAACTTATCAACTCAGTCATTGATAGTGTTGAGAATAAACTACCCACAAGCCTCCACCATGCAAAGGTTCAAATCCTACTAATCTTACTTAGTGTTGAGAATGACTGAAAGAAATTGAAAATATGTCAGACTTGTAGTAATATGTTGCATGAATTGCTGTACTTTATGGAGAATCTTAGTGGTCAGTGATGTTGAGAAATAGAAACTTATTACATTAATGTAAGGTACAAATACTTTATGCTTTCAAGCAATTCAATATGTTAGAGCTATAGTATTTTGTGCTGGTAGAGATATCTTGGTGAAAAATCGACCGAGAGTAGGTGTTGTAGAAACGTGGTTGATTCTTCCCTCGCAGATGATCAACCACAGCAAGTTCCCCGCCTACTTCACCTGGACCAATCACAGCGCAGGCCACATCATCGAGGTGGAGACCCCCCAGGGCAGCATCGCGCCCGAGTCCAGCGTGGAGCTGGAGCTGGCCGTCTCGGGGGCGCGGCCGGGCCGCATCGACCAAACCCTACGGTGTCGCATCCAGCACCAGGAGCGCACGCTGCCCCTGCGGGTGGTGGCTGACATCGGGGGACCTCGGGTGCTCATCGACACCCCGGCTGTGGACTTCGGCCTGGTGCGGTTCGGAGAGACCTCAGCCAAGGAGCTTCATCTGCGGAATGCATCCCAAGTGGCAGCATCCTGGCATCTGGAAGAAAGTGAAGAGTTTAAGCTGAGAGACCTCCAAACTGGAGAGGTATTTGCCTCCTCAGACGCTATAAAACTCAACTTAAAAACCACCAGAAAAGCTGACGAAGTCCATTGTTTCATTTTCTGTATTCATCCAAAAGTGAAATGGTAAAACCTTCTTACAAAGTGCCTTTCTCACCTGTTACAAATTTCAGGCGTACTGGAAGGCACCTATGTTAGCACATCTGTAATTTCATAAGCCTTAAAACTGAAAAGATTAGAACCTACCAACATCATGGAAAATGTTCTTTCTTCTCAACTTTAGACCATCTCTGAGTTCACATTGACACCCTCCTGCGGCGACCACCTTCCTCCGCTCGGGTCAAAGATCATCAAGGTCACATTCAAGCCTGTCCAGTGCCGCCGGATTCAGAGCGTGTTTGAGTGCAAAGTCACCGACGGGAACAACAGGTGATTTTTTTTAAGTCAATATTTGCTCTCTGTAGAATCTGCACTTTTGATAAATTAATTAATTGACAAGTTTCTTTTGAGCTGGACTGAAGTAAGTTTCTTCCTTTTTGTCGGCACTTTTTACCAGTTTTATTGGGGTCCGTGCTGATGTACAACACCCTCAGGCCTGCCTGGCATCCTGTCAACTGACCATGGATGAGGTCTACGTTGGTGTGCCAATAACCAGGGAAGTGACCATCGTCAACCAGACGCTACTGGCCGCCAATTTCTGCTGGCAAGAGGTCAGTGTTACATATGGCTGTAGATATGTAGATTAGTGACCCTGGGTCAGGGGTCATTGACCCACGTCAAAGGTTGTGCCACTGGCCACAGTAGACCTAAAGCATGTTGACGTCACGTATTGTTTACAAGTGTGCTTTCCTATGGAGGCTCAATGGATCGCATCCCACCTCACTGCTATAGGAGAGCACACGTGTAAACAATATGTGACGTCAGGATCGGTTATAGGTCTATTTGGCCGAGTCTGAAACAGACTTGCTGTGTTTGTTGTTAGTAAATGCCTGCGTATTTTCAACCAGTAAAAGCATAGGCCTGGTTCTAATTAGCACAAGACTTGAACAAGGCCCAAGATATCGAGATAATATACCAACTAGGATCTCCCATGCAGCACAAGACAATAAAACTACCATGTTGGAGTGTTTGTTGCTTCTCATTTGACATTGAGGAAACTATGTTCACAACACGGAATGACCTTGGGCAATTAACAAGTTTGTGTCCAATGATCTTTGACAGCCGCAAGGTTCTCAGGCTGAAAAGTGCCGGGTGACCTTTGACCCGCACCAGGGACGTCTCCAACCCAGAGAGAATTTGAAAGTTGCCGTCACATTTGTGGCCAACACACAGGTATTTAGAAATTGTATTCACGGTTTGTTGGTTTTTTTTTCAAACCTCGTTCTGTTACAATAGTACCACCGTTGGAATTTCATCACACAGTCGTATTTTGTTTATTTTTCAAAGCCAAATAGAGGCGTTGATATTCTTATTATCTCTGCTGAGTGGTGCTGAATTATATATAAACTCTTTTTTTTAGGGGAAATGGTGGATTTGGTAAGCTCCCAAAAGTTAACACATTGGGTAAGGTCCTTTGCGAAGATTCGTGTATTGGAGATGCGTCTCTTTTGCCCACAATGCACAGGGTTTGCTTGACAACGTGAAGATTCCATGTTACATCGAGGGGATGGTTGCCCCACTGGTCCTGGGTCTGTTCACCGATGTGAGGGGTCTCACCCTGACCTATAAGACCCCCAACCCGGACAGCGAACAAGGGTAAGCTTGAAGTTGTTTGGAGACTGCTCGTAAGATGTCTGTTTGTCAGCTTGTCAAAAGATTCTTCTGGGTGGGTGTATGACGACAGTGATGTTTCAAAGTGTTGACATCTTGAGAACGGAAGTCATTGTCTGGAGCATGCACAGATCTAGGCGCAGTATTAGAAATAGAGGGATGTTACGGAACGTGCAGGGCCATGGCCCTCCTCTATTAACCTTTGGTATTCCGGTATTTTGAACAAATATAGCCCTGCCACATGATGGAAGAGATTGGAATTGATCAAGTTTCCTTTGTTTTACTTGCTTGCTTTTACCAAGTATGGTTATGATTTATAAAAAAATCAAAGGGAGTATGTGCCATTTTTTTTATACTTTGGCTTGTGTTTCTCTCGGATTTAGGGAAGATAATCTGTTGTTGGACTTTGGCAAAAAGGTGGAGCTCGGCTCCACCCCCAGCCGGGTAGTTCATGTCACCAACCACACAGCCATCACCGCACCCTTTCACATCATCCTGGAGCATTTCGGATCGGCTAAGCCCCCCACGCCACCGGACAAGGACAAAGAGGCCAAGGATTCCTCCAAGAGGTGCAACGCCCATTTTTTTGGCGGGGGGGGCAAGGATCAGTTGGGTTGGTTCGGGTTCAGGGCTACTGGAATGCGTGGGTTGGACTGGACTCGCACTGGGTTCTGCTGGGTTGGGTTTGAGTTGGGCTGGGTTTGGGTCTAGCTGCAAGTTTTTCTCCTGTTGCATACAATTGGGCTAGCTTGGGCGTTGTTCAGACTACCCTGCTTTGAATTGAAACTTTGCCAGAATCTAGGATCTCGATCTTCTAGAAAAATTACTAAATATTCTTCATCAAACGACCAAAGTCAACAAAGAATAGAAGAGGCAAATCCGGATTAACTTTTTAACCATGTCTACCACTGAATGTCAGTAACTTATTCAAGCCGAGAGGGGCTTGTGTTGCCACTACGTGTATATAAATCTGATCTTCTTCGTTCACCTTACCAGACGTGGTTTGCTGAATCGTACTTCCAACCTGGCTGACCCACAGAGCCGCACTCCCTCCCAGATCCAGGCGGACTACGCCAAGGCCGTGCTGCGCGATGACCGCGGCGCAGCGTTGGTCGTGTCCCCAGCCTCTGGCGTGCTGGAGCCGTTCTCGGAGCTGGAGGTGCGAGTGACGGCGTTCAGCGACATGTGGGGGCGCTACACGGACAACCTCATCTGCAAGGTGGGTGCCGACTTCCATTGTTGCTTGAATTTTGGGCTTTAAAATTCTTTTTCTTTTTCATTTTGTCAGATGTATTGGTAATTCCCCAATCCACAAGTTTTAATATTCAAATAAACAAGATAGAACAAAGGCTTTGCATGGAAGCCATCTTGCAGGGCAGTTCTTTGTTCCACAGGGAAACCTCCTTTGTGCATACCTTGTGGAACAAAAGCACTGGCCCACAAGATGGCAACCATGCAAACCCTCTGTTGGCTTTGGCTAGGAGTAATACGCAGTCTATGGGAAAAGGCGTCAGCCACCAGTGGCTCCTGTAGGAATGTGTGTTTCCAGGCACACCCTCATTTAAGACAAGGACCTTGTAATTTTCCCATGTAGTGTTATATTTGTTTTCCAGTATAGGGTGGTTGTTACTGTTTGGTTTTTGGGTCTGATCTTTTCCCGCCCCCAGGTGGCAGATTTGCCCCCAGTTGTAATCCCTGTGGTCATGACGGTCACTGGGTGTCCACTCTGTTTCTCCATGGCCACTCTCAAGGGTCAGCTTCCTATTGTGAGATTTGGGACGCACGTGGCCGGCCTACCTCCGGTCCACCGACCCCTGAAGATAAGAAACAACAGCCCCTGTGGTAGGTTGAGAAAAGTTTTTGGTTACTTCATATACGTAAATAAATTGACTGACAAATCCAGCGTCGTCAATTTGGAAGAATATCTTCTTGCTCACAGTTTGCACACTCTATGGGGGATTTTGTCATTTGAAAATTGTAGATATCCGACTGGACTGGCAGATCTTCAACCTGGTGGAAAACGATTCCAAGCTTCTTGACCTAATCATCAACATCGGGGAACCCTTCCCCCTCCAGGATAAGAACGGCGAGGAGATAGTGCCCAATGCTGCTCTGCCTGCCGCTATTGAAATAGCAGAGGGAGGTGGCAGCAGTTCGACAGCCACCGAGTCGACCACGCAGCCGGGTCTGCTGCAGAAGGTCACAGAGGAGTTGGAGAGCAGCTGCCAGGAAGGCCTCGGGTCGGAGGCCAGAGGTCAGATGATAAAAGTTGTCATGCGAGAGCATGAAGGTGAACCGGCCGAGAACGGACCATTCACTGTCAGCGACAAACAGATGGTAAGCCAGGTGCAGTTTGGGAAAGCTACATTGTCGAGACTGAATTTGAATGGAGTTGTATGTGTACATAATTATGGGATGAAATTACGTGACAACATAGTTGGACGCTGATTGTCGGATTGTATTTTCAGATGTACAGTTGTACCTGTCTGTGCACCGAATTGCTTAAAATTGCTCTTGGAAAATCGCATTTGTGCAAAGAACAGATTTGTACCGTTCCATTACAGTCGAAAGAACATCACCAACAGATCCAACTTTAATCTGGAGGGATACCCTTTGATCTCTGACCTCAGGTTATTCCAGCCCGCGGCAGCCTGCAGATGGCCGCCTCCTTCAACCCACGGATGAACTCGATGACTCTGAGGGGGGCCGACTGGATCGGTTACGGCCTGGGCTTCATGAGTCTGGACAGCGAGGGGGATAGACAGGTCACAGGGAAGGTGTCACGTCCACAGGGCTACGAGATGATGCCACTGCGGTTGGATTTCACAGCCTACCTGAAGCCGGCTCTGTAAGTGGTGATACTTTGGAAAGCCTGATGTTGATGTTGCCAAGTGGTATCAAAACCAACAAGAGCATTTCGGAGTTGTGAATCGGTCTTGCCTCTTCTCTTTCCGGAAAGGTTGACGGTTGAAACGGCTGATGACGAGGGCATGCACTACCATACAGCAGCGAGTGACCTCTTGGACCCCCAGGACCGGGCTCGTTTCCGATCCCCCTCCAGCAAGAGCCGGGCGGCCAACCTGACCAATGCCACCCAGACGCCGCTGACCTTCCGTCTGGTCACCCCAAGGCCGTTTGAGCTGCTCAGCACCGAGCCAGGATCTGGGAACCAGTCGTCACGCTCGGCAGCAACCAGCTGTCCCATCAAGAACCAGTCGGCCGTGTGCCGGGGCGAGCAGATGCTGGGCCTCCCACCCCAGAAGAATCTCCAGGTAAGTGAATTTCCAATCTGCCTTGAGCAGCACAACCCGTAATCGATTAAAATGGACCCTGTTGGTGAGGAGTGTTGATAGCAACGCGACCGTGACATGTGCCTTTCATAGTTTGTGAATCAGCGAAGTGCAGTTCCCACCAAAGGAGCCTCATGTGGAAATACTGCTAACCGTTCCCCACCAGATGTGCATGAAAAGATCAACCGATGCTACTCTCGTTTGCACTAAAGCAATGCACCTACTGGCTGGAAACATTACAAACTTTGTTGGACCTTTCCAGCCAAAGATTTGTAAGAAAATATGCGCTTCTGTATTCATAACAAGCAGTTCAATTGGCGGTTGGTCACGAGTTGAGCACTTTGGCAACTGATCAACACAAGTTAAACCATGCATTGCAATCTTAAAATGCTGATAACTCCCCCCGTACCCCCCCCCCCCGCCCCGCCCCCAGATAAAGGTTGCTTTCCACCTAACGAGGGAACTCCTGGAGAAATGCCTGAGCAAGCTGCGAGTCGGCCAGGAGATTCTCGGGGTTCGGCTGACGCAGTACGAAGACGAACGCCGACTGATCATCAACCAGGACCTGCTGATAGAGTACAGCAACAACGCCGTCCAGGTAGAGTGGCAGGCTGACCCATGGGTCGGGAGGCCAGAATGTAAGGTGTAACTCGCAGGGCTTCTCCATGCGATTGTCCATTCAGAATGGTCTAGGGCGAGTTTCAGAGGAGCTATTTTTAAACTCCCATGAGGTGTCTCGTGTGATAATAGCGAAGCACGTTGACCGGGGACGTTAAGTCAGTTTTGCGGTCTCCACTCTCGCTGCAGTTCTGTGACGTAGTGAAACTTGTGCTCAGCATCATTTGTCTTGGGTTTGTCATGTTTGTGTTCTTGTGGAAAGGCATTTCTTTTAACAGATCTCTGTGTTCCTTTCATTGGGCCAACCAACATGTTTCAAATGTCGAACACCGATATTAGATTGACGGATGGCGAGAAGCAGAACGCTCCTTGTAATGAAGCCATTACGGGGCTGTGTTTGCAGTGCCGACAATCACTTCTCAAGAAAGTGTCATCATACGATAGTGTGTTTACCCATTATCTTTCAGAAACTGCCGCTGTATGCCATGGTGGTCATACCATCCATCCGAGTGACCCCTTCCCAGCTGGACTTTGGCACCTGCCTGGTGACCCAGCAGCGAGAGCTTGAAGTGACCATCAGTAACCCAACTGGTTCGGCCAGCTACTGGACGGTGGTCTCTGGTGAGTTAAGGGCCAACGATTTGGAGGGGGGAGTTGACAGGGCACTCCGCTTCCAAAAGGGGACCTTTGTTTATAATCATAAATAATAGGATAATTTATTTGCTGTCACCCGTAGTGTAACAACCACACATCTTGTGGATTGTAAGGGAAGTGTGGGTAGAAACAAGGTTTAAAGTGAAGTATTTTCTTGTATTTGGGGACTAAAACATGTCTTCAACCTCTGAACAGATTGAACAGAATATGGCCGTTTCACAATAGTGCGCCACCAAGAGTTTGCAACGCGTTGGCCAATCACAGTGCGCAAAATTTGTTGACCCAATGCGCGTTTGGAAAGGGTCGACAAATTCCGCGCGTTATGATTGGCCAACGCGTTGCAAACTCTTGGTGGCGCACTATTGTGAATCGCCTGTATTGAACAGATTGTGGCCTTGTGATTGAATCAAATCATAAGACCTACTTTTAATATTCAAATTTTCTCAATTCTAAATTCCTTGGCAAACAGACCCCCAGCAGCAAGCAGAGGAACTGTTCCGAGTTGTCCCATCCGCCGGTTTGCTGGAGGCTCACGTCACGCATGTCTCCCGTAGCAAAATGATCCTCAAAGTTCACTTTACGGCCAGGTAAGTACATACACATTTTTACCGTCAGTTTCTGAAACTCACACAAAAGTGTATACACGTCCCCTCTCTGCGCCAGTTTATTACAAAACTACGATCCAACTGCATACTGTTTCACACTAAATGATTACAGCGTTGTCGCCGAGCCCTGTGGAGGTCCTTGTAAAGTCCAGCGTAAAGTCATCCATTCTTAAGCGAAGTCACAAGTTGTTCGAATGCATTCCTCTATCAAGGTACACCCCAGCGACTGGTCTTGTGCAAGGACTTTCCATGAACTCAACGACAACACGAGTCAATTCCAACCGCCACCCGAGCATCTGACTCGGGAGATGAATCCAGTGACTATGGTGTTATCGCTGGGCCGAATTTCACGGAGCTGCTTAGTGGTCAGCAGAAAAATCATGCTAGCTTTAGCACAAAAATTTACCAACCTTAAGCACTACATGTGTGTCATGGCAGTGCTTGGCGTGGTTGCGCCAACAGTTGCGCGCGCGCACAGAGATTTCTATTGTTACCTCGTTAAGTTGAAGCAAATTCTTCCTCCAAGGTTAGCACGCCTTAGGCTGTGCTTACTGCTTACGGTCTCCATGAAATACCCGGAGCCTTTATTCACATGAAATCGTGTGCTAAGCAGCTCCGTGGAACTGGGCCCTGGTCATTTGCGGTAGCCCCCCCCCACCGATGCAGCAAACATTGTGATAACTATTGTACACAGCCACGGTGCTTTGTACAATAGCTGCAATCTTCTCCGCCATTAAAGGGGGCCATCAGAAAAGTCTAGTGAAACATTGCCGGATTCATCTATACAGTGTCATGTGTGCTTCTCAAAGTCAAGTATTTTAAATGTTAAATATGTAGAATAAAACCCGCAAAATGCCACTATTACCGAATTAATTTCAAACGGAGGAAATACAGTAGGCCAAAAGAACTATCAAGGTGTGTAGTTTTTTTCTGCTCATTTCATTTTTTTCAGGCTTTCGCTACAGTGGCCTGACTTCAGGCTATTTCCCTTCCAATTCTTTTCATTCCAATCAAACGTATTAAACTCACGTCCCTGCTTTTTTATGTTGAGGCTCTAAATGCATTTTTTGCTTAAAATGTAATATTCACATCAGCAAATTTACACGAATAGGACAGTAAATATACCAATATCAAATAATATCTTTTCTAAGTCTCATGCCTTTGAATTTTCTAAAAAAAAAATTTTTTTTTCAACCAGGCATAATGTGGCCTACAGGGGCAAATTCATCTTCCAAGGCATGCTGGGAGAGACCCCTCAAGAGCTGGAGGTCAGAGGTCAAGGGTCATATGACAGCCGGCACGAAGCCTTGGTCGACGTGTAACAAGCTGACCTCAACAGAGCTCTATGGCTAGATACAAACATTGTGGCTGCAGCTGACTTTTACGCACACCTCAGTGGGAAGTGATTGCAGCCGCTCCTCGGTGGCTACCATGGACAAAGCTTGTTATTGCAGTCTCCTTGAGGTTGTTTGTCCCTAAACGGCTAGCCACACTAGTTTTCTTGTACTCGACCTCTATACTTTGTGATCAAAGGTCAAAACGCTACTGGTATGTAAATCAACTTGACAAAAATAAGAGAGCAGCGATGAAATTTCTGATTAAAAAAAAAATCAGCTCATCACAAGCAATTTTGAAACAGTTTTTAACAAGTGATACTTAAATTTTCTCTGTGTACAAAAATTAGGGTACAGGAGTTTACATGCCCTGGTACATGAACATAACTCTTTTGAGGAAAAAAAAAGCTCACAAATTTTTTGAAGAGTGATTTTATCCCGAGATGTATATACGTACTGTCTGTAATCACATACTGTCTCATTGGTGGCACTCTAACGTCTCCCAAGCTGACGATCTTTGAGAAGTGCGTGAGCAAGTTGTGGTTTTTTTACTTTTTGGCTTTCCACCAATCAGTCAGCTGGAACAGCAACATTCCAGAGAATCCCATAACTTCAGTATGGCAGAAAGAACAAATAAAAGTGTATTGTTGTTCACACTTTGGAATGCATTGTCAGTAGGTTTTTTTCACAGGGTCATCGTTCTTGTGAAACACTGCCCTAGAAGGGCAGAGCGAGAAGCGTACATCTCGTGCCAAAACCTCTACTTTTCTATAGCTTTAAAAAGCCATGGCTATATTCGCACGCTACTGAAAACGGCACGGAGGAAAGCATCTCATAATGGCCCTCTTAAAAAGAAACAGTTCTCACGTGATTGGTCAATCGTTCAAATGATGTAGCAGTGATTAGCATTTCTGAATTTATATTAACAAATTACCTCATCCGATTACATACTAACAACTGTAACTTAAGTGAAGGAGAGCAAATGTTAAAATAATAATAATAATTCAATTACATCCAAGGCGGTGTCTGAATCAACTGGCTTTGGCTAAGAGAGGCAGATGCAATCATGACAAGTTGCTGGCAGCCGCTACTCGACAACTTTCACAGAGGCATGTGTTATAACCAGTCAAAGCCATTAACATCTGAACACGGGCTAACACGATGTTCCCACCTTGAGATGGTACCAGACTACTCCAGGCTCACGGCGATGTCCAGCCGCGCGTTCTGCACCAGCCACTCATAGAGGACGCCCACTTTGGCCTGGGTGGTCGTCTCCCATATCGACAGGATGCTCCTGGCGCCCTTTTGGGGGTCGAGGTCCTGGTCCCACATTTTGATCTTGTGGTTGGTGACCGGTTCAAACGAGTGTTGGTGGCGCTTTCTCAGCCAATCGGCAAGGTCCTTCCAGTTGTGCATCACGCCTGTGGTGCACACAAAACAATCCACTATAATTAGGACCCGAATATCCCCTGGGCACAGCGAGCGCTGTACGCAGGGCCTACAAAAATTTGAGGGCCTACAGAAATACCACAGGGAGAGAAATAAAACACAGTTTCACAAAGCTGCGGCATTTCCTTTGATTGTTTGATTTCGGGAGAACTTTCCAACTAGTTTATACGGTTCACTTCACTGCATGAATATAAAATGTGAAGCTTCAGTGGTAAGCCCGGCGTACAGTGAAGCCAGGCCCTGGCTGAAAGAACTCCCTGTCAGGATGAATCCCAGTTCATAACACCCGCAATTCTGCGATTCTCTGACTAAGATGTGAACAGCTCTCAAGTCTCGAGCCGGGTTCAAGGCCGAAGTAAGATCGGCTTTCAAATCCGCAATTTATGAATGTGGACTTGATCGGGGGCTCGGAAGTGCCGTGGAAATATAAAGAGTGGTCTCGGATTTGTCCGCGACTTTAGTGAATCCAGACCAACTAGTTTGACGGTGAGTCCTGAGGGCCAGCAGCTTTCATTAATTTCCGGCCACGACTTGACAAGAGTTACAGACACTCACCGTCTTTAGTGCTGAGTTTCTCCTCAATAACTTGAGTTGTCGAGTAAGAAAGATTCTCAATCTTTGTGTCCCAATCCATAGCAGGGCCTGTTTGCAAAAAAGTAAAAAATTCTAAAAGTCTCATCTTGTCTAGCTGTTTTATTTCTCATGATGCATACATATGTATTTCAATTTTTGCTTTTATTTCTGTAAAAGAACTTTTTTTGTCGATTTGAATTGATTTTTTTTTCATACTTGGGAGTCGTTAGCGCATCAATTCTTACCAATCACTCCTCCTTGATCGACGTGCTTCTTGAAGACGTCCCGCACTTTCTTCCCACAACACTGGAGGACCTTCCACAGTTCTTTGCGTTTATCGAAACTTTTGTCCGAGTTATTCTGGCTGTAATACTTGGAACTCCAGTGCTTCAACACAATATCCACATATTCCTATTACAAATGTAAAATTATGGTGTAAGAAGTTTATCCATTCCACAAAAGGGTCAGTTGTCTAAAGATTTGGGAAACGGGTTCAATTGTATGGGTGCTTTGAGGTGACATGTTGGGTGAGGTTGGGTTCAGTGCATTCAGTGGAGTATTTGACTTATAAGATAAAACGTCCACAATGAGCGTACTCTTAGGATAAGGGGCACAATTTTTGTGCACTGTCAATGGTACACTGAAGGGTTAGGTGCCATTTTTGCATACATCAGGTGTTGAGGAGTGCTGTTTATGTAGGGTCAGGGGGCAGAGCGCACTTTCACTGGCAGGAAGTTCATCACAGCGCACTTCTCAACAATGAATGGTGTACGGGCAGCAGGAACGAAGCACTTTGGAGGAAGACTCACCTCTTTGGCGTGGTAGCCCAACTTTTGACACTGCTCGGGGGACAATTTGGAGCATCCATGCAAGTCTTGAAGAAGCCTGTTCCCGTTGTCGACAAACTCCCACATGAACCTCACAAACTGACTGGAGAAAATCCCTGTCCAAACGGAAGACAGAGAGTGCTCAGCACCAACATGTAATGCATTGCATCTCCCTCTTTTTATCTTTAAATGACTGATTTCCAACATGTACAAATCCATGGAGATGCCTTTACTGTGGAGTGGCAGCCCCACCACACACGTTATGCACATTCTAAAAGCTTGGCAAGACACCATGTCCTATTAGTTATGCAAGCAAATGGATGACAAATGGGGATATATCCCCCCAGGCTATTTCAGGAGGGGGCATGAGAATGGGCAATTCTTGAAATGCATTTCACTTCTGTTCCTTCCGAAAGTGTGCACAAGGCTTCAAAATTTAGTTCTACCCCTCATAGAGGACATAAAAAGGTTACTCACAAACTCGGAAAATTTATGCCGCCCCCCCGCCGAAAAAAATACATCTGGCCCCTCCCACAATTTGGTGCTGGATCTGCCCTTGATTGGTTGGTGTGATATGATTGACTCGTGCAACCCGCAACAAGGCATCTCTTGCAAGGGCATCACAAGGGGAGCACAAGGGGAGGGCAAGAGGGGGCACTTGCCCCGCCCCCCCTTGAAAAAATGGGGGAACATTTAAAAAAGGAAGTACATGTAGATAGAAATAAGAAAGGAAATGGGATGAAAGTCACAGATTTGCTTTTAAAATATCGCTTTCCCCCTTCGTGTCTTCTTTCATGTCACCGCTGCACCTAGCCTGCTCTAAGGCAAGTCCCCAACCAATGAGCCACTTGCGAGTTAAATTTGAATCAAATGTGGTACACTGTGTCATCCGATTGCATAGAAATGAAACAATTTGAATTTCCCAGGCTAAAGACACAGTTGCTATGTACCTCATGATTCGGGGCAAGCTTTTGCATAGCGACCACCATCTCTGGAATCGACTGGTTCCTTTGTGCCGTTCTTGTCCATTGAGAACAGTGTATTGTTGAAAGGCGTCTCTCATGTAACTAAGCAAAAGCTTGCCCCGAATCACGAGGTATAGCAACAGTGGTTTTAGGATGGAGAATTCAAGTTGTTATGTTCACGTGAATTTAAAGAACTCAGTGTACCAGATTTTATTCAAATTTAACTCGCAAATGGCTTATTGGGAAAAAATGGCTTGCTCCCCCTTGGAAAAATCCTGGTGACGCCCATGCTCTCGTGTTAATTTTAAACATTCACCGAGCACAAGAATAAATACTCACTCAAACTCCCCCATACCCACCTCCCTCAAAAAGAAAAGGATAACCGTCCAACTCACGGGGGGCTGAAGGCTCTGGCTGACAAGTGGCTTCGGCCGGCGAAGTCTCCTCGGGAAACTCCTCGCAGAAATCAAAGGCCAGCTGTTTGAGGGATTTAGCGTGGATGGCAGCCAGCAGGGCGTCAACACTGGCCTTGTTGCCGCGCGTCTGGCGCCAGTGAAAGAAACATTGGTAGCGTTGCTCCACTATCCTCATGCTGCCGTCGGACGCATTATCAATCTCGTTGTCGCTCAATCCCATCTTCCTCAGAAGAGGCTTCCATTCCGTGCGGCTTAAATTTTCCGACAGCCAGGTCATCATGTCCGTGGTGATAGTGCGCACCCTCTGGTATTAACCAGATTTTTTTATTGAATTTTTCTGTTCTTTTTACTTGGAAAATCATACATGATTAAGCAGCTCCCATACAAAAACGTGACGGATTATCAGGGAACAAAAACTTTCAGAGAGGCAAAATGGCAATGGATAAAAACGACCATGAAACAAAAGTCTTAGATTTGTCTTTTGTGGCATTTAAAATGCTACAGATTGCACAATTTATGTCTTTTTATTCATATTTTCCCAGGGATCCTGCTCATGAACCCCCCCAAGCCATTGCATTTCAATCTCCCCCCCCCATAATCCTGGGTATGCCCCAAGAAGGGACCCAACAGATTTTTAACCATTTTGAGAGACACCATGAAAATGGACACAAGTCTCATCCCTGCAATATGCTCCAACTAGCGGTTGGGACTTTTGGCTTACCCCTTCCTTACGGCTGGAGATTTCAGCCATGCTGCAACTTTCACCATCCAACTTGTTGACGGCAGCTCTTTGGGACGCCACAGCAGCAGCTTTGGTCACATCCATGCTCGTCTCTGTGATCGGCAGTCTTTCTTTACTGTCTCCAAGAGCAGTTCCTCCTGCTGTCTGAACGGCGGATTTCAGCAGGGCATCGGGGAAGTCGGCAGTCGCAGCAGCTTGGGTCTTTGCCGGATCCGTGGTCGTCACTGCAACCGCTTCTTTGCTTCCTCCTAGAGCTGCTGTGTCTGCAGTCGGCTTCATGAACTTCGTGGGAAACGCTTGCGGCAGATGGGTGTTTGGGAGGTCGGTCACTGCGCAATCTGCTTCAACTTGGGAGGAGATGGATGAAGGGGTAGATGCGGGATGCTCTCCTCCAATCTGGCAACGCCGTGAGTTGGCTAAGAGATTGCCAACTGCAGAGGGCCCCTGATCTTCCACGGATGTGAGCCTCGACGAACCATCACCTTCTGCATTGATGGAAAGAGCCTCACTGGACACATTCCTCACTTGCTTATCTTTTGGAGTCTTAAACTTATCTTTCAGCTCCTTGATCTGAGCATTGAGGGCTTTCTTCTCCAAAAACCAAGCAGCGGCTTGCTCCTTCAACTGCAGATTTTCACGCTCAGCCCTTTCAACTTGTGCTTCTAATTCCTTGATGCGGGCCTCTTTGATGTTTGCAAAAGTCATGACTTGTTGCAGGAGGTCTTCCAGGGTAGGAACCCCTCTTTCCATGGGTCTCTTTAGATCGGTGGTTGTGTTAGTACTTCCACTTTGGGTTGCCATGGTTGTCACGTGATATCAATCTGAAAAAGAGACACAAACTATTACTACTTGTCAGTGGACGAAAATTCAACTTAGCCATCTCCATACAATTTCCAAAAGGGGTTCGTTGTCCACTGCAGTGCGGGAACTGGGATGCAGGCAATGAACCCCACAGTTCTGGGGGTAGCTTCCGCGATGGAACACTGGATTTTACAACAGTTAGACAAGCACAGCGGCTTAAAGCTGTTCACTGAAAATCTAAAACTTTCCCTGATTTCATTTACTGTCTCACTTTGCATTTCCAAGTTGATTTCTTACAAAGAGGTCATCTGACTGTCTGAACCGTCATGACTGTACATCCTCTTTAGATACAGAGGATAATTTCTGTGCATGTTACAACTGCGATGCACAATAATGACCCCTTTTATATATCCCTACCTTCCTCCATGTTTAAGTTACTCACATCCCGAATAAATACTGACAGGCCAAGCCTATGCCTAAACTAGGGGATTGTATACTTGGGGACACCCCCCCCCATTTGGGGGGATTGTATACTTGGGGACACCCCCCCATTTGGGGGGATTGTATACTTGGGGACACCCCCCCCATTTGGGGGGATTGTATACTTGGGGACACCCCCCCCCCATTTGGGGGGATTGTATACTTGGGGACCCCCCTGTTTTTCATCACTTTAATCTTGCAAAACTGGTAAGTCCCTCAGAAAACAAAGGCAACACTCTCTTTATTGCGCTGACTCTATTTTTGGGAAATTTTAAATTGTAAATTGTGAGAAAATGTCACTTTCTTAACCAACCATGCCAATTTGAAGCACTATAATCGGTCACACTCACAGTTCCCCATAATTTCACTCAAAACCCTACCATCTTTTCACAACATCAACCCAACAGTTTATTGAGCATGATTCACACATCCAAAAGCTAAAATGGAGATCTACAAATAAAAGGAGGCCACGTTGACATATGCATATCGTTCAGGATACATGAAGTACATTCATGTAGGCCTAGGCTTTGATGACGTACATGCACTGTGTGTCAACTGACTCTGCACTTTCTGACGGGCCTAGTATGCATATGACGCATGTTGTTCTAGTTTTCTACATGTACAGAACATAGCCTTCTTATCCGTCTGCCATAATTCCCCAGTAAAATTAACATTAGCGGCACCATGCGTGGCAGGTCAGGCCCAGGGCCGTCCGGCCGGCCAGCCATAGGCCTACTGCCTGGCACAAGTCAGTCATGTCAGTAAGGGCGTACACACCAAATCGGAGATAAACTCCGTACTGGACACAAAAGTTTTATCAAAACAAACTAGGCCTACGTACCTTGAATTCAGAAGTGCCGGTCACACCAATCAGGAAATTTGGGTAAAACACAGCGAGAGAGAAAGAGAGGAGAACGGGAAAAATGGAGTGCAACAACACAATTACGTTATTTACGGGTCCGGAAAGGGATTTTCCAAATTTCACTGCTCCGAGCACTGTCGTGACCGCACGAACGGGGTCATGTGCGTGTCAAACTTAGTATGGCGCGCCATTTCAGCCTGAAATTAATAGTTAACCAGGCTCCCCCAACGCTAACCGTCGGAACTAGGAGTTTCACTAATGGTTGCGATTGCGAGACTAAATTTTCGTTCTTTAATAGTGGAGGCCGAATACAGTGCAAATATTAACAGAAATTGGGAAAAATTGGTCTACTTTTAACTTAAACCTCAAACTCAAAGTTCCATCTCGACTGGAGCCCAATCTTGAAATTCTCTTATTCACTGCGCCTGTTTGGATCAAAAACAAAGTTGACTCTTTGCAAAGACAGCTTTGTTAAAATGTGGCAAATGAAGTTCCACTTGTATCGGTAGTTGCTATTCTCATCATTTCTCTCTTGGTTTTTAATTTGTTTAGGTGGACTTGACTCTAATTGCAGCGCCGGGTGGTTGAAACTGGCTAGAGAGGCTAGGATCCACTATTCGTGTGGACGGAAGCCCAGATACGCCAGCGGCCAGACAGGTGCACAAAATTAATGTTTGGTATACATGTATATGGAATTCCATAACTGCCGTCGCCCGTCGTCCGTCGTGCATCAATGATAATGAATTCAGATGTGCCGATGAGTTGTTTCCCTTCAATCCACAAGACCAAGGGCTTCTACTACCGGCAGATCTTCGAGAAGCTCTTCTCAGGCCACGCCCAGTATATTCCCTACTCCTGGCTGCCTAAGTGGGGAGGGGACACAAGTAACCCGTGTGGCAGAGTGCTGACTCACTATATGCGACTGATTCGCATAAGAGGTTTGAAAAAGTGTCGAGGAAGGAAGCAGTCCTGGACAGCTAAACCCAAACCCTATAGATCCTTCCAAATTCTTTAGGAGTTGTTTGGATTTCGGTTTATTTTGTAGGATTGAGGAAGTTTGATCCCAGTCACTGTGACTTGACATGCACGGGCTTGATGTCTAATGAAGTAAAAGGAAAGTACCACAGTTTGGTGAGGCAAATTCGTGAATATTTTAAAAGAGGCAGGGCAGACTCATAAATGTTTCTAATCATGGTTTGAAATTGATCACGTTTCACACCGCTCAACCTCTTCACACGACTCTTGTGTCTTGTGTCGTCATTATGAACTTCCAATACCTTGCAAGAATGACCCATCAAGGCTTGCCGACAATCGCATTGTCACAGAGCAACGCCCGACTGCATAAGGTGTCTGGAGAGGGATCGTCAGCTGAAGTCACGCTTTGCAGAAGGCATGAAAGAGTTGGTTGATAATGGAAATGCCGAAGTGGTTGCAAGAGATAATTGCACATCAGATACAACCACATGGTGTCTACCACATCATCCGGTACTTGATTCGGGTATAAAACAAGGGAAGTTGCGGATAGTCTTCGACTGTGCCTCTAAGCACTTTCGTCAGTCCTTGAACACGCAGACAATCAGCGTGTCAGACCTGGCGAACAAGTTATTGGGCGTACTCCTGTGCATCCGACGAGAGCAAGTGGCTGTGGAAGATATTCGAACCGTGTGCCACCAAGTCAGAGTGTCTCCGGAATGCCAAGATGTATAGTGTTTCCTTTGAATGGGACATGGAGTCCCAGTTGCTGCTTGTTTGCTTTATGGCATGCAGCAGAGGACAACCGTCAAGATTTCCATCTCGACACAATCAGCTGCGTAATTTGTAATTTCTACGTAAGTTTGATTAGTTTCACAAGACAATGAAGATGAGGCTATCCAAGTATAACGAGAGTTACGATAGCATCTGTCCCGAGGTGTCTTTCAACTAACAAAGTGGTTGAGCAACAGCCCCCGAGTCCTTGAGTCTATTTCTCGAGATTGAAGAAAGAGCTGTGGGCGTCAGAAAGCTAGACCTAAATTATGAAGCGCTTCTAACACAGAGAGCCTTGGATAGGCAGCGGGACGTCCAGGCAAATTGTTTTGCGTATCGAACTAGTCCAAAGGAGAAACCGTTGGCAAGGAGAGGGTTACTGAGTATTGTATCCTCCATCTGTGACTTGCATGGTTTGCTACTCCCTTCATGCTGTTAGCCAGGAACACTGTTCAAGACTTAAGCAGGAAGAAGCTAAGTTGGGACGAAGCACTGCCGTAACGACACAGGGACGACTGGCAATGTTGGATACAGGACTTGGACAAACTCGAGCAGCTGCAGATAGCTTAAATCGGCGTATCAAGCTCTACGAGTTTAAAGATGGCCTCATGTATCAGTTACATCATTTTTCTGATTCACTGAAGGCAGCTTACTTGGCTACAACTTACCTTCGTGCGGAGAATTCTGGAGGCCACGGTCACTCGTGTCTGCTGTTGTCAAAGTCACGTCTAGCACCTCTAAAAAGGGTTACGATACGAAGGCTTGCGACACTCTCAGTGAGGCTGGATGCAGTGATCAAGAAGGCGTTCAACTTAGGCCTACCTTTGGACGATTCAGTCTTCTGGACTGATAGCACCATTGTGCTTCCATACATCAACAATGAAGAGAAGCGTTTCCACACCATTGTGGCGAACAGAGTAGCCGTCATCCGGAACCGGTCAAGTCCTAATCAGTGGCGCCCCGTGGAAACCGAGCTGAATCCGGCAGACTTATCACGAGAAGACAAACCGCTGATGAGCTGCTGGCCAACCAGAATTGGTTGATTGGTCCTGAAATCTTGTGCCGAGACAGCCACACGTGGCCAAATCTACCGATCTCGACCAAACTAGATGATAAAGAGCCAGAAGTAAAGCCTGAGACGGAGGTAGTCACCTGATATACCACCAAGCATGTGGATTCGGTTAACCCGACAGACAGGTTGACAGCTAAGCACTCCTTGTGGTATGAACTGAAAAAATATGTTACATGTACATGGATCCTGCGAGTCTGCTAAGAAAGATCAAGAACCAGCCAGCAGGAGAAGAGAGGAAGGCCTTGACAGCAAACGGCCTTGCCTGGGCAGAGGCTGTTATTGTAAGATACGTTTAAGGGCGGTCATTTCAAGAGGAGTCCAGTCAATTAAAGAGGGATATTTTGGAATAGGTTAGGTAGATATACAACCAAAGACAAGGTTGATGTGTTCTACCCAGTCAATTGTTTGTTATTGTGTGATTAGTTATGATTGCTGAAATTTAATTAGATAAACAAATTGCCGTTGTTGGTAATTTATAACTATTTAAAGTCAATTTGTTACTTTTTGTGGACAGATTAAACCGTGTTCACCAGTTCGTTGAATGTACATGTATATCCGTCACTCTGTCACAGAGAAGATTTTGATTGATGACCCCAAGAAATTTAGCAGATGAGACCTTGTTTCTAGAAGTACCATCAATCTTAAGGATTGGCAGTGCTGTATCTTGAGAAAAAGGGAATCTGTTACAAAGAATGAGAAATTTGTTTTGGTAAGGTTCAAGGAAAGTTTATTTGCTTTAAACAAAGAAATAAACTTTAGTTCAGAATTCTGAGTGTCGAATAAGGAAGGAATACTGTCACTCATGCAAAGGATTGTAGTGTAATCAGCAAGGGTGAAATTTAGCAGCGAGGAGGAGCAACGGATGCCATTTACATGAAGCAGAAAAATGAAGGGTCCAAGAGTAGAACCTCGAGGCACACCGTGTTGGACGTTGAGACGGTCCTAGTTGTGGTTCTTGACGGATGTATACTGGTATCTATAGGACAAGTAATCAGTGAACCATTGGAGAGGGAGACCTTTGATGTCGTAGCAGTCGAGTTTTGAAAGAAGAATAGAATGATTAATAGTGTCCAAAGCTTTAGAACGATCAGTGAAAACACCGGCAGCATAATGTTTATTGCTGAAAGCACCAGTCCCCTTGTCAACCAGTTCAATGAGGGCCATATCTGTAGAATGTTTAGGTCTGAAGCCGTACTGATGCTTGAAGGGGATGTGATGAGAGGATATTATTTACTCCCACACGAGAAAGTGTCTGCAATCACTGCAAATACAGATGTCCCAGCCATCTCCTCTTACCAATACTTTAGGATTTACAGCCTGTGACTTATAATTGCTCGATTGTTTCTGAGCTGTGGGCTCTGTTAACAGCCTGCGACACTCAAACAATAGGATTTGTATACCTTTATGGACACCAACCGTTACGTGGATCTACTTTACCACCCAAGAGTGAATGTGGACCTAAACCCATGCATACCCCTCCAGATCCCACGATAACCCATCTACTGGTGGGTCTAACAGCCAATCAGTGCCTCAAGGCGAACCTTATCTTTAAAGACAAATCCACTGACATTCCATTGGACACTCCCGATGGTAACTTTGAATGATACGCTGTGTGTTGGGTTTTGTTCAGAAGTGACCGTTACGGAACAGTGGTTCCGTATACAATATCTGCCACAGGGTTTACTGGCATTAAAAGAACCATTGCAAATAACCAGTGATGGCGTTACTATGGTCATCGCAAATGTCTACAGGCCTACTGCAAGTTACTTATTTGGGGTGTAGTAGGCATTTCCCGAAACTTGATTGCAAATCTCGCCAGAAACTACCTGCTCCGTGAAATTGGCCGTGGAAGAAGGGAAACCAAAACTAGTAGTGTCCTTTCCCTCATTTTCCCTAGACAACATTTTGCCCGTTTTTTTAATTTGGCCCACGCCCCCACCCCCAGCATGAGCAGCCAATTTTAGGCTCGATTGCAGTTTGAACGGCGTCGTGTATTTCGCACAGTTATAAGCCTTACGGCCCAATCGCTACAGAATCTCATTTATGTTTGGTGTTTCATGCATGACGAAGTACTAGTATACGTGGCCTTTCATCATATAGCTGTGGGAATGCCCAAGTGAAATCTCAATATTTATCGGACCTAAATCAGTCTGGACCAACACTGTGTTATCCTAGCATTGAAAACAACCGCGCAACCTCCCCAACTGTCTGTGTTTTCAGGTAACTCAGAAGTGTGCCCCTGAAGTCAAATAAACTAGATACAGGTCAACAAGATAAATGAAAATTATGTTGTGTAATTTTTAGACAATGTTGTGATGGATGACTGCAGGTTGAAAGGAAGGCATCGAAATATGTGCGGCATCTGGGCGGTTTTTGGAAGCGATGGAAATGTGTCCGAACTGTACCACAACGCCTGGAAGATCGCGCACCGTGGACCAGACTCCTCACGCATGGAGAACATCATCCATTTCAAGAGTTGCTGTCTGGCCTTTCACCGATTGGCTATCATGGATGACGTGTTTGGCGAGCAGCCAATGAGGGTCCGCGCCTATCCCCACATCTGGCTTCTTTACAACGGAGAAATTTATAACTTCCGCCTGGTAAAGACGATATCATTCGAACTTTTATATTAGACTGATAATGTTTCAAAGAGAGTTGTGAAAGTTTATTTCGTTTATTTATTTTTTTTTATTAATGTTTTGAAAAGAAAGTGAAAGTTTGTTTTGTTTTTCATTTGACAATCTCAACAGATGTTTTACAAAGGACAAAGAACATACGCATAAACTACCGTTTAATGACAGACTAAATCACAAGAATATTGTGGCGAGCATCACCACGCCTATACCCTAAGTTGTTGGGATCAATCAAGTGGCGTAAAACTGCAGGGCTAAATGTCTCTAGCAGGCCAAAATGCACGCGCGCGTCATGCTGAAGAATTCGCGTTAGTGCCGTGCCATCACACTTATCAGGTTAGTCTATCCGGTTCGTAAGTGCGAGGTCACTTCGGTTTAAACCCAACGCCCCACTGCACGCGTGTACTGTACATAGGGTTACATGCATTGATCGCCGTTTACATGGAACCGGAAGTTAACGCGCAACTTCAGCGATTCTGCAAATCGTGGCGCGTCGGCGTTTGTGACGAAATCACTTACGAATCGGATAGCACACAGTGACCCCGCCAACTTGGTTTACACAGCTGCAGAAGCAGTTTGACTTCCAGTACCTCACAGAGTGCGACGGGGAGGCCATTATTCACCTGTATGCCCAGGGAGGGGCGGAGTATGCCGCCTCCATGCTGGATGGTGTCTTTGCATTCTGTTTGCTGGACACGGCTGCCAAGAAGGTGAATGAAAAAGAATTATTTGTAAATAAAAGTAACCTTTTGGGTGGAAATCATCATAACAAAAGATTATCCAAGTTGAATGTTAGAAAGAGAAAGGTAAAAGAGAATGATAGAAAGGAATATCAGACGCATCCTTCTTCAGCTGGAATGGGTTTGATCAACAACTCGAACATTCGGGGGGGGGGGTAATCCTTATTTTATATGGGATATAAGGTTATAAGTTCGTTGGTCTTAAAATAAAAGAATAAAATTGGAATGAAACTCGTTTAAAACATTTTGGACACATCTTTAATTGAAATAGTTGAGCAAAAAATTTGAGTATATTAATTAATTCATCAATATTCTGTTTTATGAGAGAGAAAACTCCTGAAGCTTTCGGTCACCTAATTGCTACCGATGCAGTCTGCGCGTTTCTCTGGTATGCAGGTATTCCTTGGGCGTGATACCCACGGTGTCCGGCCGATGTTCAAACTGTGTAGAGAGGACAGCTTTCTTGCCATCTGCTCCGAGGCCAAAGGTCAGCATTAATTAAACAAATATTCAAATGATGCCCAAAGCCTACGGATGAGTCATGTGAACTAGTAGAGCTCAATGCTGTGAAGTGTGCCGTAGATTGTGGAGTCGGTGGGAAATGATATACTGGTAAAATTTTGGCATCGTTTTCGATGACTGCAGGAATCTTGGAGTTGGAGCAAGCAGACAACAACCACAAGGAGGAGACTGTTCCATTTCTACCGGGATACGTGGAAAGTTACGACTTGGCCCCCTCTGGCAAAGTAACACTGCGCCAGTTCACACAGTTTCATAGCATTGAAAGGAAACCGAAATGGTCCGATATCCCACTGGCCATCCAACCCCATGGTATCAAAAAGCAGACAACTGTTTTATGTTTATTAAGAATTGGAGGGGAGTCTGGCAAAGGAGTGAAAACTTCACTCTCAAAAAGAATGGGTCCCTTATACCTCCACGATGAAAAACTCACTCTAAAAAAGAGCGAATCTTACTCCAAAACCACTCCAAAAGAGTGGAAGCCACTCCAAAAGAGTGAACATCACTCGCTACTGAGCAGAGTGGAAATTTCACTTGTTTGGAGTGGTTTTCGCTCTTTTGGAGTGGTTTTGGAGTGAGACTCGCTCTTTTTTAGAGTGAGTTTTTTATCGTTGCATTTACAGAGATTTTTTCGACTTTTTTAGGGCTTATTGTTCTCAACTGTCTGACCTGTCCTTGAACAGCTTTAGTAAGATTAAGCTGATTAGTGGAATACACATAACTATCAGATTTTGTTGAATGCTTTTCCTACACAGGAGAGGACATGTATGCAAACATTCGGATTCTGTTCACTGACGCGGTTAAGAAACGGCTCGTGTCACACCGGCCGCTTGGGTGCCTCTTATCAGGTATTATTTTGACCAAAAAACCCGTAAGTCTGGACTGCGTATTTCTCTGTGAAATTAATTCCCCCATTTGTCATCAACCTGAATTTTTTTGTTTTAACAATTACAGCGGCGTTTGGATACAAGTACAAGCATTTGAAAAGAGAGAAAAGTATGGAATGAGACGCGAGGGTTTGCATGGTGGAAAAATCAATAAGTGACACAGGTTTGCGGTAGCACCATGGAATAATACTACCTGTATTTCTTTATGTGAGAGTGTGGTTCTGAGAAGAACCAGTGGTCTTCTAATGACGAACAGAGAACGCCGTTCGAAACGTAGAGAACAACTGGCTCTCCTCAGAACCACAATCTCACATAAAGAGATAGTATTATTCGATGGTGTTACCGCAAACCTGTCTCACTTAAAAGTATGGAAAAGATCAAGGTATGATTTGGACGTTCAACTGAAAGTTTAAACTAGACGAGCCCAGATCTTGTATTTCACTTAAATTCACTTGAAGTCTGCTATCCTGTTAAAAATTCAAGCCAACTCCGCAGAGACAGGTCTGTTTAGTCAAGATATTTAAATTTTCAGCTTGCATCAGTATTATAATTCTCACAAATTTTCTTTGAGATGTAATCAACGTGCATGTTAAATTTATACGTAACTGTGCGGTCCCTTTTCAAAAATATTTCTCAGGTGGACTTGACTCGAGTTTAGTCGCAGCGCTAGTGGTGAAACTGGCCAGAGAAGCCGATATTCAGTACCCTCTGCAGACGTATACTATCGGTGTGGACGGCAGCTCGGACACGCGAGCGGCCCGACAGGTCCGAATAGTTCGAGTCTTCAGCGGTCGAAGCCAACAATATTGGCGTTTCACAATAGCGCGCCTCCAAGAGCTTGCAATGCGTAGGCGACCCAATGCGTGTTTGGAAATGGTCGACAGATTTCGCGCATTTGTCACTGGCCAACGCGTTGCAAACTCTTGGAGGCGCACTATTGTTAACCGCCCGTATTCCGAGCCAATACAAAATCTCATATTTTCTGAAAAATCTCATATTTTCTGCAATTTCAGTGTGACTTACAAGTGCCTTTATACTTTCCAAATTTTCATCGCTTGCATAAGGCACTATTAGGGTTGTTCAAGTCTTACAAGCACTCATAACAGAAATGACTGTAAAGTCACTGAGATTTTTATAGTCAAAATAATTTTTCATAGGGCCGATGTTCAAGGGTAAAGGGGGGGCGTCCTTGCCTGATTACCACAGGTTTGCCCAGGCCATTTCAAGCAACATGGCGGGTGGGGGGGGAATTTGGCTTTGATGGATTGAATGTGGGAAGTTCAGGTGGGATAAACTGTGAGTTCTCCAACTATATGTACTGAGGCTGGAATCTGAAGTTCAGGTTTCAAATCCCACTTAGGTGGCGAAGCACATTGGCAGTGAGCACCACGAGGTTCCCTTCTGCCCCGATGAAGGCACGGCCATCTTGGAAGACGTCATCTATTCCCTGGAGAGTTACGACGTCAATACGGTCAGACCTGCCGTGTGTGCGTACACCGCTGCCTTCTATAAATTTATGAGAAATAAATGAGGCTCTTGTGATTGGATTTTGTGATTGAGAAGTGACAACATTGCCGTCTTTACCACCGTTTTAATTAGAAATTGTGTCCAACGACAGGCATGTATCTAATATCCCGCTACATCCGTGAACAAACAGACCGGGTAGTGATCTTCTCCGGGGAGGGTTCGGACGAGTTGACCCAAGGATACCTCTATTTCCATCAGCAACCGTCAGCCAAGGAAGGGGACGAGGAGGGTAGACGCCTCCTCAAAGACCTGTACCTATATGATGTTCTGAGAGCTGACCGGATGACTGCAGCTCACGGGTATGAAGTCAGTGCTGTGATCACTGCTACTCATTTTCGAATAGCACTACCCGATAAAGAGAATCAAATAGCTCAACTTACTAGGACCGCTATACTTCTTTCATCTTGTTTGTGTGGAGATATATCTAGATACAATCCTACAGACTTCCTATAGTGAACCACTGGTCCTTGTACGATCTGGGTTCTTCCTTTTACCCCTTCCTTTTTACCCACTAGATTAGAGCTCCGTGTACCGTTCTTGGACCATCACTTTACTTCTTACTACCTCTCACTCCCAGCCGAGGCAAGGTGCCCTAAGTTGGGAATTGAGAAGTACCTCCTGCGTAAGGCCTTCGACGGAACTGGACTCCTTCCCCCGAAAATCTTGTGGCGTCAGAAAGAAGGGTTTGGCGAAGGCGTGTCTTCCAGGAAGAAATCCTGGTTGGACAGTCTGACTGAGTTCGCCAACGAGAAAGTGAATCCTAGTTCAGTCATTTGAGGAGTTTACTTCGCTAAGTTTTTAAGTAGAAATGGTTTTAAGTTTCCTACATGGTCAGGTATATGCACAACCCCTCAACTATTCCATCTTACACTTTCCTTTCAAAGTGCCTGTTCTGCTGCCTTTTTAAAAACACTTTTAATGGCAACTAAATAATTGTTGCCCATTGCTTCCAGAAATATACTTTTAGAGCTGGTAGAGATTGTTTGGGGTTAAGAAAAATATGGAATTGGTTGCTTATCATTTTAAGGCTGGCACTGGGTTGCTGGAGCCCCAAATAATTTTCTTTGTGCTCTCCAACCAGGTCGATGATACTGAATTCAGATGCGCTGAAGAGTTGTTTCCCTTCAATCCACCCAAGACCAAGGAGGCCTTCTATTACCGCCAGATCTTCGAGAAGCGCTTCCCGGGCCATGCCCGGTGGATTCCCTACGCATGGCTGCCCAAGTGGGACGAGGACACAAGCGCCCCATCTGGCAGAGTGCAGACAATACGCCAAGGGACTGGATTCACAAAAGCGGGTAGAAAAAGTTTGGAGGAAGGAAGCAGTCCAGGCGTAGCTAAATCCTAACCCTGCTAGATTGGATTTGTTGGATTTTGTAGGAATGACAAAGGCAGAGTCCAGTACCTGTAATATTCAAACTTTTGTATGCATTCATATATA